AAACAGCTAGGATCTGGAAAAGCTAACACAGGCTCAGCACCTATTTGCTTGGCATGAGCATCAACACCTGCATAATTTTGGATGGGAAATTCATCTTTTTGTGGTTGTGAAGAAGGATCTGCCAGAAGCATAGGTCTCTGTCGCTTGGGATGATTACCTTGTGTAGTATTAGGAAATGCAAACCCAACTAATGCAGGTTGCTCAGTGTTTAGGGAACTTGGCACTAAAACATTATCTTTTGAAGAAGCAGGCAGCTGCTGCTGAGATTGGTTGGAACTTTTCTTATCCCTGGAAGGATGCATGTCCTTTGGAGGATGATCTTGTGAAGGAAACCCTATTGTAGGCAGCTGTTTCTGGGGTTAATTACTCTGGAGATTATCTTTTGTAGGATGAGTTTCTAAAGGAACCTCATTTGGAGGCTGTTTACAATGGGATTGTTGGGAAGTTTGATTACTTGCAGTTGGTGGATGATGACCGCTTTTTCCAGGATTTTGTTTCAAAAGGAGAACCTGAGGTGAAGACAGCTGTTGCTGGTGCTGGGGATGATTGGAACTTCGATGACTCTGAAGATCATGAGTGGAGTATCCTTGTGAAGGAATCCCATTTAAAGGCTCTTGTTGCTGGGAGTGGTCGGAAGTTTGAAAACTTGGTGGATGATAATTGCTTTTTGGAGGATTTTGTGGCAAAGGAAGAGCCCGAACTGATTGCAGCTGGGGCTGAGGCTGAGGCTGATAGGAACTTTGATGACTCTGAACACCATTGAAAGGATGTAGTCGCTGGGATTGATCCGAAATTTGACTAAATGGTGGCAGAAAATCAGTTTTTGGAGGATTTTGCTGAGGAGGTACAACCTGAACTGAAGGCAGGGACTGCTGAGAAGAGTAAGGAAATTGAAGATAATCATCCTTTGGAGGATATCCTTGTGATTGTGAAATCTGCTGTTGCTGGGAAGGAATAGGATACAAATAACTCTGAGAACTCTCCTTACGAAAACTGTCTCCTGGATAGGCGTCCTTTGCTCTAGCTGTAGCCCCTTGATCAAGACAACTGCTCATCTTTTCTATCTCCAGAAAATATCCTGCTCCAGGTTTCTCTTTGCAATTGTTTTGATTTGGTTAGGCCTAGTTTCTTGAATAGTATATATATAAGAAATGAGAAATTATTGAACAAAAGGGTATGGTTTCACGCGTAGTTAAGTGGGATGGGTTAGATTTATTTCCAGCTTTATAAAAACGCAGTTTAATTAATTTCAAATGCACAGACTACAGCTAATAATTCACCAGAAAGCAGATCAGATTCCTTCAAATATTAAACTGACAAAATGAAATATTGTCATTGTTGGATTATGGGGTCCAACGGTCTCGGGACTCGATATGTCGGTTCCTCTGGGTGAGGTATTATATGATGAATCGGATTCTAGTGTATGACAATCTAACCTGTCAAGGCCTAATGGGTGAGGTATCCCATGAAGCCTTTGCGAAGCCCTTTATGTCCACCTGTCGCTTAGTACGGGGCTCTATGCTATTAAAAGAAAATAAAGAAATAGAGTTGCGCCTTCACTATCAACTATAGTTTTTGGTGTAGTGGTAAGCGCTTGATCCTGAAAACTAATATCAGAGTGAGGTTACAGTTTCGAGTCCCCTAGGTGCCATTGGGGGGGAGATTATTGGATTATAGGGTCTAGCGGTCTCCCTTTGGGACTCGGTATATCGGTTCATCTGGGTGGGGGTGAATCAAATTTCGGTGTATGGCAACCCATCCTGCCGAGCCCTAATGGATAAGGTATCCCATGAAAGCTTTGCGAAGCCCCTTATGTCTACCTGTCCTTAGTATGGGGCTCTGTGCCACTATCAGCTATAGCTTTTAGTGTAGTGGTAAGTGCGATCTTGAAAACAGTTTAGCTTTATGGGGGGAAGGCTTTGCGAAGCCCTTTATGTCCACCTGTCGCTTAATACGGGGCTCTGCGCCACTATCAACTATAGCTTTTGGTGTAGTGGTAAGTGCTTGATCTTGAAAACAATTTAGCTTTATAGGTTAGATGGTGAACCAAGAGGGGGGAGTGAATCGGATCTCTCCAAATTCTTCCCAAACAAATAATTTCAATATAGTTGAATGGAAATTAAAACAATAAGCACTTTTGATGAAACTATAATGCTAAACAACAATAAATTATAAAGAGATAGGGATAGAGAAATCAAACACAATGATTTATAAAGGTTTGGTCCTTCTCCACAAGGCACTTACGTCCTCTCTTCTTGGTTGTCCACACCAAGGCTTCAATCCACTGTTCTTGAACTGAAAATACAACCTATCTTTTTTTTTTAAGGTTTAAGATAGAAACATTTACTGTTTGTAGTATTTAACCTAATCTCACTACAAAGCTCTCAAAAGGATACCTCACCTCTTGTTCTCTTCCACCTTTGTATATCAAAGATAATTTTATTAACAATAGAACAACCTCTCTAAGGCTAAGTGTTTGCTAAGTTTAAGTACAAGAAAATGATGAATGAACAACAAATAAAAATTGGATACAATAAATACAAAGATATGGACTTATAAGCTCTAAAAACTCTTGATTCTTTGAGAGAATGAAAATGTGGCTTATTGGCTCTTGCTCTCTTGATTCATCAATCTTCTTGGTGTGTTAAAGTGCCCAATTTATAGAGAAATTGAATAGGTAGCCGTTAGAAGTGTTTGGGAGAAGAAAATAACCGTTGGAAGCACCAAAAAGTAGCCGTTTGAGTGTTTCTGCCCATAATCGATTGATTCCTTCCATGAGGGGATCGATTGGTTCATGTTTTGAACCAATTTACCTTTGAAAATCATGACCCGATTGATCCTTTTCATAAGGGGATCGATCTTGTCAGTGGCTGGGTGGTTATCTCTTATTCTGCACTCTACTCACTAATTTGATTATATCTTGAGTTATACAAATCTAAATCACAAACCGTTTGAATATTTAGAAACTAGACTTAAAGAACTTTTTATCCATATAAAGTTTATTACCTAACTCACTGTGTACGAATTATAGTAAATTTTCAAAATTATGCCTTGTGTAGTTTTTTTTACAACTATAGAGTGTCTAGTAAAAATTTAAAATCTTTTCTTAAAAAATTTGGATTTTAATTTTGTTTAATTAATTAGAAAGTAAACTCAAAGAGCTTTCCAACCATATAAAATTCAAATATTAAGACTTTGTGAATTAATACAGAAAAATAAAACAAGTTTGATGTTAGAAAACTTTATTATTGTAAAACAGCTTTCTTAAGTTAATCTATTTCTCAAAACCAATATTATCAAAATTGTATTAAGTTCAAAATGAATAAGTTCACTTTAAAAAGAATAATTAGACTTTCATTTAAGCTCAAATAAATAATCTTTAAAGATAGATTTGGTTTGAGAAATATGAAAACAAAGAAAGGTTTATTTAAGCTTTGAAAATCATATTATTTATTTAATATCAAAATATAAAACTTAAGAATATGTACTAAATAAATCTTTTTTCAAAATCTTGATCAAATTTATTTAGCTTTAATGTTTTGTCATTTCAAAATAAAGATCAATTCAAGGCTAATAGTCATTGTTTGAAGAAAAGCCAAAATAAAAACCTTGGAAACTATAAAATCAAAGAATATTAGGTATACCTGAAAATAGAATATTACAAGCTCAATTAATTAATATATTTTTCTCTTCCATAGTAGACTTATGATCATACATAATTAAGCATTTTCAATAATTATATTATATAATTCCTAAAGTTCATTGGATAATATATGTTATACATCGCCATATAGTCTCGTTCTGGGAAAGAAAGTAATTGATGGGATGAATACAAATTGAAAATTCCTGATGATCAGAAACGAAATGGTAATCTAATCATCATCACTGAAAGTTCTCTTGATAAAATGTCTTTTGTTTGTGCCCTTTCCGAACAGTATTTTTTCTTCAAGATGCTCAAGTTGAAATAAATAGGACTGAAACAGTGAGCAAGTCAAGTAAAATTTTAAATCTAATCTTTTTTATTTCCTGAGAAATCGAAATATGAGATTAAAATATGAGATGGGGGCATCTTTTCCAGTAAAGTTAGATGCTATCTCCGCCTTCTGCGTATCAAAGATTTCCTCTGCAATTTATTCGCATAAGCTTTCGCTCCAATGACTGTGAAAGTGTGAATCAATCTTAGATTATATATTTGTATTTCCCGTTACTGACTTCTCATTATTTCAATGTAATATATGATAGATGGCTAATTCAAGTTAGGGAACATGATCATTCATTATTCAGTCTCTCAATCCCTATCTGACAAACAACAGAAAAGAATAAATCTCAGTTGTCACTTCGAATCAAAGACCAGAATAAAGAAGCAAGAACTGAAAGTGAAATGAGTTCAGTTACAAATCATTGTTCTGTGGAGAAACACAGCCACTTTCAAGTCTGTCAAACGCTGCATTAAGACTGAATTTCCCTTCATGTCAAGTTGCTTTCAGAACTCTAACTGAAGCTACACTCCTTCCGACCAGAACCAATGCTTCCACAAAGAAATTGCATATGTGCCAGCGATTTTTGGTTGATTGCTAACCATTGATGAAGCAGCCATAGATTCTTCTCAACCCCATACTCCAGTTTCCATAAAATGTTAATTTCACATTATTGGACTTTTTCTAGGCGTTGCATTCAGTTACAAGTCACAGCTAACTCTATATTCCCTTAATTTGTGCACTTCAATATATATTCCTTTGTCATTATCACTTTAAATATATTCCTTCAACATTTTCTCTTCAACTCATCAAATGATTTGATTGAGAACCATTCAGTCATTAAGTGATAGTAGCAACAAGGGTTAATTGACCCTACATCAAATTTGTGCACCATTTAGAAGGTACTTGATTTGGAAAAAACAGTACTTTTTTTTATGGTAGCGTTCCATCATTTAACTCAAATGATTAGTACATAATCCTCCCTCTCTCAAATAAAAAAATTTCAATAACTTCACTGATTATTAACAATGAGTAGGAAATTATAAATTTAACAAAATGAGAAATAATTTTCAAAAGGTTCTTAACCCTTTACATCCTACTGAAATTCAGAAAACCAAAAGTTGAGAAAGGAAAGCAAGCCACAACTAAAACAAAGAAATCTATGAAGACCATAAGGTCATGGTCGATCAATTTTCATTCAAACTGAAAAACTGGGCATGTATTATTTGCTACATTTTGCCATATTTTCATATCAAGAAAGACCTAATAATAGCACATTGAAACTCGAAATTCTAAAGCATTCATCTATCAAACATACTGATTAATTTTCCTTATTTTCTTCTTCCTCAAATACATCTATATTCTGTCTTCACCCAGAAACAATGAATGGATGTTTTGAAAGAGAAACAAGAACAAAAACTACAATGCTAGCTCAAGCACTCTCTGCTGTCCTAACATGCATTTCTGAGAGAATTTGGATTCTTTTGAGTTAGTATTTCATGGTATACAAATGTGATCTAACTCTCTCTTAGGTTACAAGCAACACCGATGGCACTCAGGCTTAACTTCTTCACACTTGCCGGCAAGCCAGCAGCTCTTCAAAATAATCCAGTCTCTCTGTTGTGCATCAGACTAAGGATAGCAAAAATTTCCACTTAATCTTCTCACTAATGCTTTCAAATACAATTTAAGCACAAACAACTAGCCTATGATGTCCGCGTCAGAAAATCATTAACAGCTAGACTAGCGTCTCCATGGGCCACAGCATCTTCAGGTTCTGGCATATAAAGACTTGAAGACGAAGCCTGCACATTAAGAACACTCCATTAAATCAGCTCAAGTAAAGTTAAATCTTTCTTCTGTATCTTGAAAAGGAGATAAGGCATCGGGGGAACAATGAGAAAAGTAAGAAAAGGCACAGGGGATGCCAAAGGCAAACTCCCAAAATGTTAAATACATAGTATTTCTAGATGGGCTAAAAAGGGACACAAGGATGATATCCCAAAAGGTTCAACTTAAGTTCAGTTGTTGAGTTGGACTGCACCCTTGAATAAATTTTGCTCATGGCATGATGGAAAGAGAATTAACAGGAATTCCATCCATCAAATTTTATTTAAAACTCAGTATCACGGGAAGGATACAATGGTTGCACCAAGATGGAACTTGGACAATTTCACTCGCACTGCTCCCATGAATAAACTCGCTCATGACATGAAGAGAAAATTTCTTACAGAAATGGACTTTTGATATCAAGCTTATTTAATTTTATTTAATGCTCAAATCAAGGGGCCAATTAACAACCTGAGGATCTAATGGGTGTACAAGGTGGAATATTGCTAATAATCCAACAGTAATAAGTTCACATTGTTCATTATCAACATGACATTAAAAATACCTTAGTATCAAGCTGCATCTCTCCATTACTATCTGCAATAAGGCATGCACCATGTGACTTCAACCAGTCAACACAGTCCTCCAATCCCTCTGAGTCTTTCTCATCACTTCCTCCATTTGTAGGAATACTGCTGCTAAAGCCCAGCACCTGAGCAATGTATAAAACAGGTACCTGAGGACGATAAGACCTAGACATACAGCTTACAGCCTTATATCGCATTTTCTCGACATAAAGATCTGGCACAAAGAACAAATGAAAGAAAAACCTTAGCACTCCTTTGATATATGTAATAGGTTATAAGCATTGATATAACCCTGTAAAATACACTTACCCATAAGGCAGGCACTCAAGTTAGGTGCTGTTTTGTATAATCTAAAGAACATGACATAATTTCCTGAAGTCACTGCCACACGAACCGCAAGTGCATGTTGAACAGCTTTATCCTTCTTTGCTTCATCAGATAATCTGGAAATCAGATGGGATATTTTGTGTCAATATTCATAGCATGATGAATAACTAACGTAATCCAAGAAATCAAGGAAAAAAATCTTTCATAATGATAAGCAACACAACTAACCGTGACATTGATGATAAAAGATCTCTGTTGTTATTTGAGTGCATGATAACACAAAGTAAATTGTAAGCAGCAAACTCCATATGGCAACCTTCAATTCCTTCAGCATAAAGGATTTTCAGCTGCGATTGGCACTGAACCCCACGGGAAGAAAAAGAAAGAAATGAGAATAAGATTAAAAATGTTTAATAGTAACACTTATATCTTAATATATTTACATTCATTATATCCCACTTTGCATCAAATATTGGCTGCCAAATCTTTCAAGATGGAGAATGCTAGGCACCAGTTAAATTCACATGGCATTAGATCCAAAATAGACACACCAAAAAGAGGCAAAAAAGAATATATGCAAATCTACTTAGTTTACTACTTTCTGACAAAAACAATAAACTTATGGTGAACCTTTTACTCTAACCTTTTCAACAGGAATACAACATCGATGTAAAGCCAAAGTCTCAAAAATAGCCTACTACAACCGTTAATAAGAGTTTACTACCAATTCTCTTGTGATTAACATTTTCAAATCTTGAGAGAAGCATAAATTCTTGAGATAAGTAAAACTGTGCAAATACCTGTCTATCAAACTCTTGTCACTCAAAATGCAAAAAATATTTGTAAAGCATTCAAATGCCATTAATAATTTCTTTTAATTTCCCTTTCATGTCCCCAGGTAGGGGGTCTTATTTTCCGATATATTTCTCATCATATTTATAAGTAACAGATATATTTAACCTTGATTACTTTGCTAGGACATCTTCACAAATTTCCACAATTTTATCAACCTTAAAATGTCACGGTCCTAAGGAGGAGCCATGAATCCCACATTAGCTATGTACTAGAGTTGGTCATAGAATATAAGGGTTCACACCACCTTCAACTTGTAAGGTGGCTTTTGTGGGACAAAACCGTGAGACCAAGAGGACTAAAGCGGACAACACCTCACAAGTTGGTGTGAACCGTGACAGTGAGACTAATCTGGGACATAGAAGAAGCTATCCTCGTGTCCTGGAGCCGTGCAAGCCCAGAGCTTAAGTCTCGGCCCTTGACAAGTGACATCAAAGCCAATTCTAAGGATGCTAGCAACGTGCCACCGAGGACTGTGAGCCTTCGTTGGAGTGGAGGAGAATGTCATGATCTTAGGTACGAGCCATAAATCCCATATCGGCTGTTTACTAAAGTTGGTCATGAGATAAAAAGGTTCAAACCACCTTCAACTTGTGAGGTTCTTTTTGTGGAACAAAACCACGAGGCCAAGGAGACCGAAGCAGACAATACCTCACAAGTTGGTGTGAGCCGTGACAGTTAGGCTGATTTAGGACATGGAAGAGGCAATCCCCATGTCTTGGAGCCGCGCGAGCCTAGTGCTTGAGTCTCGGCTCATGACAAAAACTCCTAGAGACTAAAGAATATGATCAACTACAGTGATTTTGGCTAGTATTGAACATTACTTAAGTGATAACTAACAGTGTCACCAAAAGGAATAGAACTGAAATAAAACTCGCAAGACATGCTAATGTTTCATACAATGGCGATACACACTAATCACTCATGTCCATGTGTGTGTTTTTCTGCATTTTCTTAACAGCACAATTTGCTAATTTAGCTTGGCAAACAAGGCTAAGGCCTAGTTTGGTAGCAACCATTCGGCCACATCTGATACACGACCAGCTGAAAGAAAATGACAGCCATCATATGGAAAAACAGAACCTACTCCCATTAAGAAACCATCTATTATACGTTAAACATTTTTAAAAGCAGGTAAACAAGCTATTCCAAACAAGAAATTGTAACAAAATGTTATTAAAAAGCAAACCTGATTATACTCAGGCAGGTCTCCAACTTCCAATGTCAATCGAGCATGAGTTTCATAAACCTGATTACCATTGAAATTAGGCTTGAAAAAACAGTATTTTATCCAGGTAATATTGGTTTTAGAAAAGAAAACCCTCATCACCATGAACTTATCATTTTTCGCAGTGAGGCAGGATATGCATCAGATATACCTTAACTGTTAGCTGGTTACGAATTCTTTGGACAGTTAAGTCCTGGCGAATAGACTTCAACTGGTCACACTTATAAAGATAGTTCTTTTGGGAATTTTGAACCATAAACAGAGCTTTTTCCAGAACTTCTTCCGGTCTTACCTGTAAATCAATGAGGATGCTCAATAATATGCAAATGAAATCATTCTTCCTAAATATTTCAAAAGTCAGAAAGCACAGATTACTACAATGAAATAAAATATCGATAGTTACAGTGGAGGGATCTGGTGCCGAAGTAAGACGCAAATATCGTTTCTCTATTTCCTGGCATGTTCCTTTTACAGTTAGTGCATCCCAGTCAATGTCTTCAACGGCCTTGCTGCCACCATCTTCAAAGCTTTTGCTAAGCACCAATGCACTAGCCCTTCTAGCATATAGGTTTTCAGTGCCAGCGTTTTTGGCCTTAAACTGATTAATTTCAGCTCGATTTCCTTGCATTTTCTCAAAACGCTTGGAACGGCTTTCACGTCTCTTTCTTTCCTCTGGATTATTAGCGAGTGCAATTGCACTAGAATAATATGCTGTTAAATTTTGTTCCTTATCACTATCACTAGATGCATCACCATTATCAGCAGCATTCACATCAGCAAGACGCTGCCTCTTAACCTGCCTCTGGACAGTTTTACTCGCAGACTTCTGCTCCATCAGCGGAAACCTAATGTTATTCATAACATCAGTCTTCCCCTCAGAACTTGCACCAGTGGGCTGCAGAATAATTTATTCAACAAAGAAAGCTCATTAAATTATTTGCAGCAGAAGTTCAATGCCTTAAGAATCAATGATATCACTAAACGTACTGCAAAAAGAATGTATCAATTCTAGCGTAGTATTGCTATGAAAGAACAAATGCAATGGAATTAGACACTACCTTTCTGTCCTTTTCATTGACATGAACCCAGCTACTATATTTTGCTGCATAATTGTTGACAGAACCCAATTTGTCAACTGATTTCTCCTCCAGTAAAGGCTCCCACCTGCTCTTGGATCGTCGAGTTGGACTCTTCTTGTACTTTGGAAATAAAGAAACAGGGGTTGGATTTTGTAAATTGCTGCAAGAAGATAAAAAGAAAGGAAGAGAGGAGTAAGGAAGGAGTTAGAACAAATTATTGTTGGAACCAAAATGAATGCCATATATTGCCAGATAAAGGAAAGACACAAAATCAAGCATGGATAGAACACATACTTCTTATCAGCCATGTCTGTCTTTGGTATTGGAAAGAGAGATTCAGCATCCCAGTCCCGTGTATGAAGTGTACCATCATTAGTTGCCTTGGTAATTACCTGAAAGAAGACAGTATGAGGTGAAGCGGTAAAGTCAATATGCATCCAGCAGAAAATAATACTACAATGGCAAGTAGAACAATAGAAATAAAAATCAACTCAAAACATCAAAATGTCCAGAAATTATGGCACATTTAACTAGTAGACACCAATTAATCTCAATAACTTTAAAGCTTAATCTTACCACATAAAGTAACTTTTACCATAGCATCCCTTGTAAAGAAACATAATAGTATACATATAGGAAAGTAGAAAGTTGTCAGATATCAGACCATAAAGCTAAGGCATGAATCATTGATCTCAATCTTCCTTTCTAGTGGGCCCAGTATCCTCCTTTAAATTCATATTAGAAGAAAGTGTTAAAAAAATGAGAGGTAAACAACAGAAGGTAGCCTAGTGGCTATTAGCTGTCCAGGGTTCAAGTTAGCCCTCTCTCTAGCTCTGTCAAATTGTAAAGATAAAATTTGTGTAGTAAATACACTTTAATTTTTCATTTAAACAGCTTCTAAATGTTGGCATTTTAAGAATTCATTAAATCCAAACTCTTAAAGAGAGCTTGATTACAGTGGCATGAGAAAAATTAAATAAAAAGAAAACAATTAATTTTGCACATAATTCTGAATAACAGCTACCCAAAATTGATTTAAAAAAAAAAAAAAAAACTCACCTCTTTCATGACTTCCTGGCAAGCTGCCATTTGCTTTTCATCTTTACATTGAGCCAATACCCTTTCAACATAACTCTTTAATGATTTTGGGAACACACCAGCCTGCAAGCAACAAAGCAGCCATTAATTGTTGCATAACCTGATGCATGTAAACAATACAAGTCTTCGTCTTCTTTTTTCTTTTCTTTTCTTTTTTTTTTTTTTTTTTTGGGGGGGGGGGGGGGAGAGGGAAGGGGAGGAGGAGTTTGCAAGTAAACTATACAATTTAAATCTATGAATAAAGGATTTCAGACCAATTTCCAAGAGTAATTTATGTCTAAATCATCATTATCTAATGCATTCATGCGGAGATGCATTTTAATTCAACACTTCATAATCAAGTTTAGTCATATCTGGTATTAGGAGCCAATATGGAAATGAAGATTGCAGTTCCAATGAATAACAGGACATCCTCAAATATAAGGGACCAGAAAAAAACACACCAAGTGCACCCAACACCTACAAATATGCATGTATATTCAATATTTAAAAACAATATCAATTCATCAAAACTTACTAATGCCTTGCAAACTACAAATTCCAGTTTAAATGTAATAATTCTTTTTTTATGAAGCAACAATCTTGCACATGAAATGATAACATCCCAGATATATTTCCAGATACAGCAAAGCTAAATAACCCTAAGCATTTTTCAGACAAACAGATTAATCATGACCAAACAGGTTCAGCACCCAAGTAAAGGATTCCTAGGCACCTATCAAGAATCTTGGTTTTTTTACTTAAATCCAAATCAGATGTGAATAGTCTGTTTTTAAGCTTCCAAAACATGATCCAAAATCAATTTAGAGTGAGAATCAAGAGATTTAGGTCTGATAATGCAAGAGACTACTTCAACCAAAGTCTATCCACCTATTTCCAAAACGAGGGGATTATCCATGAGTCATCTTGTGTTAATTCTCCACAGCAGAATGGAGTGGCAGAAAGGAAAAACAGCCATTTACTAGCCACAACCCGAGCCTTTCTTTTTCAAGCAAATGTACCTAAATCTTATTGGGGGGAAGCTTTTCTCACTACCACACACATTATAAATAGGTTACCTTCAAGCGTTTTGGGATTTAAAACTCCTATGGAACTACTTTCACAATTTTATCCCAACCTTAATACCACAAACAATCTCACACCTAGGATATTTGGTTGTACATCATTTGTTCATGTTCACAGTCATAACAGGGGAAAGTTGGATCCAAGAGCGATTAAGTGTATTTTTGTGGGGTATTCCTCAACTCAAAAAGGATATAAGTGCTATCATCCTCCTACCAAAAAATTCTATGTGTATGCAGATGTCACTTTTGAAGAAAATAAACCATTTTTTACTCAACCTTATCTTTAGGGGAAGACTTCATTCATGGAAGATAAGGATAAAGACTTCTTTTTACTTGATTTGTCCCCTTCTTCAACATTTACACCCGTTAATTCTTCTGAATCGAAACCTGTTTTTGCTAAGCCCAAGTCAAACACTAAATTTGAATCTAAACCCATTCCAAATACAGAAGAGGTGACAAAGGATAATATTGTTCTTGATTCTATGAAGGAATTACAGGTGTACTCAAGAAGGAAAGTTCCAGATCTTGAGCCAGTGCCAGTCCAAGAACCTGATCTTAACTCTGAAAATGAGGTAACTGCAATTTTTGACTCTGTTTCTCAAAATGAGCATGAATCTCCTAAAACTATAACTAGTGATTATAATCTGCCTATTGCCATTAGGAAAGGAACCAGAGAATGTATTAAGCATCCACTATACCCAATCTCTAATTTTGTGTCATTTGAAAAATTCTCACCATCTTACAAAAATTTTCTTGTGAACCTAAACACTATTTCTGTTCCAACTACATTATCCGAGGCATTATCCAGTGAGAAATGGAGGCTTTAGAGAAAAATCAGACATGGGAACTGGTAGAGTTGCCTAAAGGAAAAAATCCAGTGGGGTGTAAATGGGTTTTCACTGTAAAATACAAGGCAGATGGTACTATTGAAAGGTATAAAGCTAGGTTAGTGGCTAAGGGCGACACTCAAACCTATGGAGTGGATTATCAAGAAACCTTTGCTCCAGTTGCCAAGATGAATACAGTTAGGATTTTGTTATCATTGGTTGCAAATTACAATTGGCAGCTTCAACAATTTCATGTAAAGAATGCTTTTCTACATGGTGATTTGGAAGAAGAAATATATATGAAGGTTCCATCGGGATTTGGAGGTCATCTAGAAGCAAACAAAGTATGCAGCCTGAAAAAGGCTTTATATGGCCTTAAACAGTCTCCTAGGGCTTGGTTCGGAAAATTTGCCAAAATGATGCTAGCAATGGGATATAAACGGAGTCAAAGAGATCACACATTGTTTATCAAGCACTCTGATTCCGGGAGACTCACAGTTCTATTAGTGTATGTTGATAATATAATTGTAACTGGAGATGATGAAAAAGAGAGAGAATCTCTAAAACAGTGTTTGACTAGAGAATTTGAGATAAAAAAGCTATGGAGATTGAAGTACTTCCTAAGAATTGAAGTAGCTCACTCACGACATGGTATCTTCATCTCACAACAGAAATATGTGATAGATCTTCTGAAAGAAACTGAGAAGCTCGCATGTAAATTTGCAAATACCCCTATAGATTCTAATCATAAAATTGGAGAAGCTAATGAAGATGCTGCTGTAAATAGAGAGATGTACCAAAGATTAGTTGGAAGACTCATTTATCTCTCACATACTAGACCTGATATAGCATATGCTGTGAGTGTGGTAAGTCAATTTATGCATAGTCTTAAAGAAGTGCACTTACAGGCTGTCTAACGTATATTGCACTATTTGAAGGCCAATCCTGGGAAAGGTATCTTATTCAAAAGAAATTCGGGGTTAGTTCTAGAAGCCTATACAGATGCTGATTATGCAGGCTCAGGAACTGATAGAAGATCCACCTCAGGCTACTGCACTTTCTTAGGTGGTAATCTTGTGACTTGGAGGAGTAAAAAACAGAATGTGGTGGCAAAATCAAGTGCTGAAGCAGAGTTCAGAGCAATGGCTCAAGGAATTTGTGAACTACTATGGTTAAAGATTATCCTAGAAGATTTGAAGATCAAGTGAGATGGACCAATGAGACTCTACTGTCATAACAAGTCTGCAATAAGCATTGCACACAATCCTGTGCAACATGACAGAACAAAACACATTGAAGTAGACCGGCATTTCATAAAGGAAAAACTAGACAGTGGGTTGATTTGTACACCTTATGTATCAACCAAGGGTCAACTTGCAGATGTGTTGACTAAAGGTCTCAGCAGTGCAACATTTCAAGAAATTATTTTCAAGCTGGGAATGAAAAACACTTATTCACCAACTTGAGGGGGAGTGTGAGAAAACACTTATTTACAGCTGGTTGTAATCTTGTAATTTGTATATTTATATTTGTATCTCTAGAATTAAGTATTTGTATCCCTAGAATTAAGGACAAAAAATTAGGATAGACAATCCCTCAATTATAGGATTAGTTTTTTAGGAAGATTTAGTTTCCTAGTTTAACCCCTAGTTAGTTGTATATAAACCTAAAGTTCTTGTATAATTATATATGAGCAGTTTTTCAATATACATTCAATTTCCACACTGATTTATTTCTTAGTTTTTCCACATATAGGCATATAGAATGACTAAACTGAGCCACAACATCATTCACTTGCAGACTACTGGCATTCAAGCTTTTTAGATGTACAGTGAAATACTTCCACCATGCTGCCAAATCCCGTAACATACAGCACTCAACCACTTATTAAGAGCCCAATAAATCATTAATTATTATAACAGATTATGCCACTAATGCATGATCGAGTTGCAGAGCTCAGGCAAACAAAGAAATTCAGATTAGACAAGGTACATATGTTTCAGGTACTAGTATGGAGATGTTCAGCCTGGGGTGGCTGGAGGCATCTTTCTTACTCACCTCCTCATTTTCTAACAGAAAATCTTACAGGATAATTCTATGGTGTTTATTCTGAAGAAATATAAGCAAACAACTAAATCCGAAAGCTCACCTTGAGTACAGAATCAGCTGCATCATTGGGCAACACTTTCTCACTGGGTTTTGGCAGTGAAACACTGATATAAGCAGGTTTTGCTACTGCACTGTTGTTAGGGCCATCCTTGTCCAATTTTGGTAAACCTAATGGCAAATTAGAAGCAATTCTGGGATTTGTTTGAATTTGCAGTTTACTTACCCTTCTCGTGTCTGATGATTGAACAGTTTGCAAAGGCGGTTGGTAATTTTGAGGTGCCTGCTGAGCGGCAGGATATTGCAAATTGGGAGCCTGAGGGCAAGCAGTTTTCTTTTGTTCCTGAAAGTTATCATATGAAGATTTTGAATCCAGAGGCTTCAGAAAATGTGGCTGTACAGGACTAGGATGCTGATTTTGAAAACTTGGAGCCCCATGCTTCCAGTAACTATCATAAGCACCAGTAACTGTTGCACCAGGCTGACCCAAAAGAGCACGAAAAGATGAAATAATATTTAAGTAAAACATTAAAAATTCAAAAAACTCAAAGTAACATTAACTTAAATGCAATTACCAACAAAGGGAAACTACATGGTTAAATAGGCATTCAAAAAGATAATACTGACAGTCATTACAACCACAGCAACAAGAAGCACATAATTCCTAGAGTCTTCCTCTTCATACAATTCATGATGCATTATAATATGATAATCACAAAAATTAATCATTTTTCTGGTACAATTGGAACATGAAATCCACCCTGCAATCGGGATGTACATATCATGCACTCTAGTCTTCCAATGAGCATAAATGCATTCTTCTTCAGGAGCATTACATGACAAAGAATTTAATTAAAAACATTAATAAAGAGCTACTATCACTAGGAATCTTTCAATAGAATCAGAATTATTATCACATCATGAACAACAGGAATCACCTTGGTAACAGTTCATATACAAACTCCATATCCCCGATACCCCTTTAGCAAAACCTTCAAAAAGGTTGCTATGACTATCAAACGTCACTCCATAGTTTAGTGAGAGGAAAGGGATCAAGTAAACGCGTGGGAAGTGGGATTCCACCACCAGTAGGGTACTAAAGTGAACAAGCAATGATCTCCTTGTAAGCCAACCCAACATAAAGTGCACCTTTTATTTGTTGAGCAAGCAAAGGGCAGGTGCATGCTTTTTCTTTCCTTACCCAATTCAAACAACTTAAAAGCTTATAAAATTTTCAAGCCAAATGGCTTTCTTTCCCTTCCTATAATCCACCCTTTTTACTGAACATAATGCAAAAGATAAAACAAGCATTTCACCTCAAACACATAGTAATATTAAAATACTTCCATCCACACTGCTCCATATCTAACACAATGCACCTTCTCACAAGCAGTGACATACTTGCAAGAAAACCCAGAACAGTTATAGCAACTCAAATCTTGACATGACCATCAAAAGCCCTTGGCTCGCAGAAAGAGATTTACTATCTAAATAGCTTACTGATAGCAGTTTCTAAACATTAAAAAGAACCAAAGAATTTGAACTAATCATTCTCACATCATAACATGGCTTAACATATTGCCATACAGTCGAAATCTAGGCCAGTAAAACACCATCTAACTAAAAAAAACATATAGCCATACAGTAGAAATCGAGGCCATTAAAACAGCATCTGACTAAAAAAACTCAAAAATATAATAAAAAAAATTGTAAGCACTGGAGAAACTTGTTAAAAGGATACATCAAATCCCCTATTTCATTAATTCTGCAATAAAGAGATACAATGCCAATAGTATACTGTAATGTTAGAGCAAAAGTTATCACCTTAAGACTTTTTACATTTACAAGTAGCAGCAGTCATGATTTTACCACGGATCGAGGAAATTTAGGTCTAAGGGGGCAGACTTTGAAGCAAACTTACTAAAATATGTCATGCATAGCATGATCTAACTCGTATCAAATAGAAAGAAAGTATATTTTCTAAATTCCAAAAAAACATCATCTTAATAACAATGCAATCTTACCAGGAGGAAGGTCAACAAAATGCACCCAACATTCTAGTATAGTACCCAAATTCAATATCAAAATTTGAGGAGAATAATATTTATGACATGAAATATAAATAATAGATCAGAAAATAACCAAAGACAGATGAAATGTAATGGGTTCATTGGGTTGCAATGCAGTCTACACAAGATGAAATATCACATCAAATCAGAAAATTGATCGATAATAATCACACACACATTACAGCACCTACCATACCATAACTCAAATCCAACGAAAAATAGAAGCATAAGTAAAATATATGCACAAGCACACTTCAAAAATATCAACTTCAACCATAAACATTTATCTAACACAGCAAAAGGCCTAAACATAAACAAAAGAAAATAACGATAGAATGCATATTTTAAGATTAGCTGTTAGCACAAACAAGTCATCACTATGTATGAATTCAGCTATTCTGTACTATACATCCAACATAAACTCAAACCTGCAACGAAGGCATTTGAGATGAACTGGACTCTGGCCTCCAAGATGAGGTAAAAGATGGGGGAGCTTGGCTGTTTGAAGTGGGATATCCACCACTAACACTAGGAACCTGAGACACCTGAGACAGCTGAGTGGATGTACTAGCAACAGACAAATTTTCTGTTCCTGGGGCACAACTAACTTCCGTTTGATTGTAATAATCGGCCCACTGTTTGTAATGCTGCTGATAATGCAATGAATTTGTAGCTGCATTACCAGCAGCATATGCCCCACTTGTATCTGGAGTGTAGTTTGAATATTGGTGAGTAGTATAATTTGCATAATTGCCTTCATTCCATGTGGTAGTCTGATGAGTGTAACTGCTGTTTGGGTAACCTCCAGCTGTCTGATAATCACCAGGATTGTAGTAAGTGCTTGAATAACTTGCAGGCCCAGCATAAGACCCTGTATTCTGAAATGAGGAAAGAGGCTGATAAGGAGCACCTGTGTTTTGATATGCTCCTACTGGTTGAGAGTAAGTGGGGTTAGATTGTTGCAGATAACCATTATAGTAACCTTGGTATCCTGTGCTCCCATATGAATAAGGATCAGAAGAATTTGAGTATGAATTATAGCTACTGTAGTCTGATTGTGCATTTGTCGTTCCTAAGCTCAATGAAGTAGCAAGAGATGCCGCATTTGACCCATCCTGAACGGTTCTTGTGGACAGTTCTGTGTGCTGAACATGGTGGTAAGTAGAATTCAAAAAACTTCCATTTTCTGCGGAGTGATTATCCACCCTAGACATGTTCCATGATGCAGCTTCAGAACCAGTTGTTGAGGGAACATATAAAGATGTCTGCCCTTGACTTGCATTAACAACATATTGGTTCTGAGGAAAAAAAAAAAAGAAACAAAAGTTAATGAATGACAAATGAAACAACCAAAATAACAGAATTCAGATGCCAATCACTATAAACGTAAATCATTTATCTAATATAAGCTTCTTGTAAATTCAGAACTCCAAATCTGATTACTTCTAAAATATGCCGTTAACTTGGATGTAGCATGTAAAAGTAGAACCAACCACTGCATAAAAACCTGTCCTTTTTCAAACAAAACATTGATTTAAATTCAAACTCAGTTCAAAACAAGAAACACTCTCCATTTCCAAAATGCCTAAAGTATTATAAAAAAACTAAACAACCTAGAAACTTCAAATCCAATTCGTTACATACAATGCCTTCCAGTTTATGATTTCAATACTTTTTTAATCCAACTCTAAACCAATCCAGTTCACAACAAGCAAATTCCGCCTCTCAAAAAACCCTAAAGAGCCAAAAGCCCAAAACCTAACCAAACAACTTGGAAACTTCAAACTGAATTCATTGCAAGCAATGCTACTACTAAAGTAAGAGTAGGGAACCCTTTTGATCCAATGCTTTATTCAAACCCAATTCGCAACACAAAACATTCTTTACTTCGAAAATGCTTAAAGAGTTTAAACCCAACTAAATAACACTTCAATCCAATCTACAAGCAATGCTACTACCTTTGGTTTTTGATTCAACACCTTTGTAATCCAATACTAAACTAACCACAGCAAGAAGCATTCTTCACCACCAAAACACCTAAAGCACTGAAAACTAACTAGATAACTTAGAAACTTCCAACTCAATTCGTCACAAGCATTGCTACAACCTTTGATTTTCAATTTCAACACTTTTTTAACCCAACTCATTACTTAAATCAACTTCTTTCAACCATTTTTTTTCAAAACAAATAATAAGGAAATTACCTCAATAGAGTTCTGGTCAAGTGAAGCTAATGTTTGTGTATTAGTAGCTTGATTCATCATATCATCATCATCCTATATTTCACCAAAAAAAAAGCAAAACCAGAAAATTAGCACCCCACAAAAGAACTACTAACTTTATCAAATCAAGAATTAAATTACCCAAAAAAGTTGAAACTTTTGCATTGAAATAATAATTATATTAAAAAAAAAACCCACAAAACCCTAATTAAATTAAAGTACCCAATTTCTAACCTTCAAAACCCTCGAAATTGAAGTTGAAAAGAGAAAGCCTTTAACGGGTTTTAGCAGCAAATAATAAAGTTTTGAGATCAAAGGAGAAAGCCCAGTGCCCAGAGAGAAAAAGAAAACAACAAAAAAGAAAATTTTATTTGCGAAGTAATTGAATATAGGATTTTATCAAATAAATAAATAAAACTAGCGCAGAGAATATAGAGAACAAAAAAAATTGAATTAAAAAAATCCCACGAGCGAAAAAGAAATACAGACAAAGGAGAAAGAGAACCGGAAGAAGTTTATAAGAGAAAAAAATTGGAAGAGAAAGAGAAGAGATTCAATAGTCGATGTTTATAAAGTCGTCGTCGTTTACTCGTTTTTTGGATCGTCGTTTTGGTTTATGAAGTGATTAAAATTTTTAATCTCTACATATAAATAAATAAAGGAAAGTCGGTTTATGAAAGGGTTGCATTAATATTACTTACAGTTATAACTATTTAATTTTTTTCTTTTTTCCAGAACTTTTTATTATCGAGAAGATTAACTGATTGAATCAAAATTTTTGTTTAAATAAAAGAAAAGTTTTTGTAGGATTTTTACTGACAAATATTATGAGATTAAAACATGGGCCGATTGCAGTCCATGAGGACCGGCTGTCATTCAAAAATATAAACCTTGTCCACCGCATTGTAGACGCTCAAACGGACGCTCAATGTGGCAACGAGTGCCGATCTTAATTTTGGTTTAATGGTTGGTGGCTTTTTCTTTTTTTTGGTTATTTAAAAAAGTCTCCTAAACTTTTTTTTTCATTTTAATTTTTATTATATAATAAACAAACAAATAAATTTTATTATATCATAATTAATAAACAAATCTGTTTTATTTATTTTTAATTATTTATTAACAAATTTATTATTTAACATTAAATAATTTAATAAATACTAATTATTTATTAATTTTATAAATATTAAATAATTTAAAATTTGAATACAAATAATTTTTAACTTAATATCCTTAATTGTTATTTTTTCTTATCATTACAATTTATATTACTGTCATCATTATTTTTATATCTAAAAATAAATTACAACATTATTTTTAATTTTATTATAATAATAATTAATTTTATTTTTATTATTATTTTTTATCTTATTAAAACTCGTAATTATTCGATCCCAACGCAGTCTAATTGACAAGTTCATATAACTCACATAACATAGCAGGATGTGAGAAATATGTGGTTACGTGTAAGTGAATTAATATGTCACCTCAAATAATTATTAATTTTTAATAATTTAATGATCAAAATATTAATTTTTATAAATACTTGTAATTAAAATTAGATCATCAAATAAAATTTTTTAAAAATTAAGTAACTAAATTTGTAATTTATCTTTTTTATGTTCAAAATGTCAATATCACTAAATTTGAGAACATATATTGGATTTTAAGAAAAAGAAATAAAACAGAAATCCACCAATTTCCCCTTTTTCCTTTTATTTCTTTATTGTCAAGTGAGAAAAACCTTGCCAAATTTTATCAGATTTCCTCAGCAAAAGAAGGGGAAAAAAAAATCGTCTTTTGGACCGGGCTTGGAAGTTAGAACTGGTCGGGCTCCCGCTCCGGGTTTGAAACATTCCACTTTTTGAAAGCCGATTATTGTAATTCCACGAAACTGAATGAGGGCTTTTGGTAATTACAATCTCTGATTTTTGACTGATCCTTATCCTCAGGCCCTATAAATTAAAAAAGAAAACGACGCGTTTAAGTGCTCGCTTTTCTGTCTCTCTCGTTCGCTTCAAAAAATCTAGGGTTTTTCATCTTCTCCTCCTTTGCCTTCCTCCGAAATTTCATTGTAAGCTTTTACTTTCTTTCAATTTCTTAATTTTTATTTCAATTTGAATTCTTATGCTCCTACTTATCCGGTTTCTTGGTTATTCATTTATAGATCTGAAAGATTCTTGAGCTCTTAAATTTGAATTTTGCTGCTTTTATGTTAATTCTTTCCCCATGCATATTATTCATTTTTTAATTTATTTATTGTTTTAGGTTTTTTGATTTGTAATTGCAATTTAAAGATGTATTTTTTAGGGCTTTAGGCTGTTAGAAATTGAAATCTGAAAAATTAAATAATACTCAAGGTTTTTTTGGTGCTTAAATTTAGGTTTTGAGAAATATTTACTAGTATTTATTCTTGTTTTATGATATGTATAATAAGAGATAATCAGTACACAGAAACACGAGTTCATTAGATACTGTTTGGTCGTCGCTTTTATTACTTGATTTTTGTGTGCAATTGGATTCAAAGCAAATAATATTTTTCAAAAAACTGAAAATTAATGGTATTTTTTTGGGTGAACTATGCGTGATTTTAGTTTTATATAGAAAAAATCCACAGAATTAGTATTGTATTCTAGTTGTCTCATCAATCTAAAATCAATTACGATTTTCTCTTCTACCATAGTAGCAATTTAGGAAGCAAAAGCAAGTAGTAAGAAAATAACAACCAAACAGAGCTTTAAGATGTCTCGAGCTTAAGTTAGACTGTTGATTCTGATATATGTAAGACAAGACATCTTTCTTCTATTATTTGTTGTAAGAATGAGTACTTTTATTATGTAAATCTGTGTGATTGTATTTTTTTTTTTTTGGTTCGCATGGTAATAGTTATTACAGGGAAAGAAAAATGCCTAGGTATGATGACCGTCGCGGTGGCACTCGCCTATACGTTGGTCACCTGTCTTCAAGGACAAGATCACGTGATCTTGAGGATATGTTTAGCCGATATGGGAGGTAATCAAGTCTTTTGTCATGTTGAAGAATTCTTAAAATTTGTAATTGTTGCATTTAGCAGATTGGTTTAATGGCTGCATTTGATTTGGTCAACTTGTTTCAAGTCTTTTGTTTTATTTTTCTCCATTTGGGTGGTCATGGTCTTTTTATTCTTTCATATTAATGGCCATTAGGATAGGTTCAGGTTGCAGTGACGATGAAGTAGGAGAAAATAGAGTCCTTTCCAAGCCCTTTTGTGGTGCTTGACATCTGGTCTTCCTTATAAAATATGAGTGAGAATGTTGCAACCCTCCACGTGTCTGTGTGGTTTAACTTGAATGATCTTGTTGAAGGTTTCTTGGCTTTTGCCTAACCTGGAGGTCTATGGTGAGAGGGTGACCTTGGTGGATTTGGCGAGTCTTTCTATAGTGTTATTGCGTGTTTTTAGCGAAATGGCAACAATCTCAAAAGTGGTGTTTTTGGTTCATCTGTGAGGGGCAAACTATCAACCCTTCGATAATTGTGTCATGATGGCCTTACTGTTTCTGGCACCCGTTTGCGCAGAATACGTGATGTGGATATGAAGCGTGACTATGCATTCGTTGTATGTATTTCTTTACTCTTTTAATTTAATCTCAAAGAACTTTTCTTATCTATAATATTCTTCAATATTTGTTATGATCTTTTTTGCTTGGATCTTTTTTCTTCTTTATCTGTGTGTGTGTTGTTTGCCCCCCTGATTACAGGAATTCAGCGACCCTAGAGATGCTGATGATGCAAGATATGCATTGAATGGTCAAGACCTAGATGGAAGCCGGATCATTGTTGAATTTGCCAAGGGAGTAAGTTTTCTGATGACATTTTACATAACAGAGATCTTTTTAGCATCTTTCTTTTTAAATTTTAATATCTAAAAAATGTCAAAAAAGCAATGAATATTATACGTAAGTCATTGGTTAATTTGATCTTTCAGTGGTTAATCTAATGGTGTATTTTGGTTAATTTGATCTTTCAGTGGTTAATCTAATGGTGTATTTGTATCCTTAATGCCTCCGGATCTTTGGGTAATGGGACTGATACAATTTGGATGCTCAGTTCAGTTACTGCTAATATTTGACTTTGACTTTCTGTTATTTGCATGTGTGCCATCACATGTTTAATGTGATGTGCACACGCATGCTCGTATATATTACCTGGTATGGTGCCATACTGTGTGACAGCCTACTGGTTACAGTTTTATTCTCCTATTTATCATAGCTTTTATACTAATATTAATACTAATTCTAATAAATTCACACTTTGTAATTATTTGGGATATAGAACAGTAGACTTATGTGTTGTACCAGGCCATTCTGGATGGTGGGATCTGAAGGGCAGAGAAAGAGGTTGAAGAGAAACATAGGTCTGGTGTCATGCGAGGAATTGACCTTGGGCACATGTTTCTAGCATGCTATCTGGTCTCAATATACTTCTCCATTTCAGAATATAAGATGCATATAGGTTTAGCCAAAAAAGTGGACTGGTTACAACTTGCTAGTGAAGCCAATAGAACCATGCTTGTGCTGTATAACTGCTGCCTAGAAGAAAAGGATTAAAACCTTTTACATAACTATCCCATAGAATATCATTATTTGCCACTTGGCTTCTGCATGAGAAACAAACTATGAGATAAAAGTGGTGATGGGGAAAAGTGTAATTTAGATAACTTGCATTGAAGTTGGAATGATTTTCTGAGTGTCATTTTGAAGGTTATACTGGTCTGCATCATTTTATCTTCTTGTTTCCCATTCCTTTTTTCTCATTCTTGTCCTAGACTTCATTTGTGGAGTATGTTAGTCAATATTGATTGAACAATGAATCTGATTTGGCTTGCAATTTAGGTGCCCCGTGGTCCAGGTGGATCACGGGATTACCCTGGAAGAGGTCCTACTCCTGGGTCAGGACGCTGCTTCAACTGTGGAATTGATGGTCATTGGGCTCGTGATTGCAAAGCTGGGGATTGGAAGAACAAGTGTTATCGCTGTGGGGAACGAGGTCACATAGAAAGAAACTGTCAAAACAGTCCAAAGAAACTGAGGTCCTCTCCCTCTCCCCTTTATCTATTTTTCTTGTTCTGACCAGTTTTTTCAGAGTAGGAGTGTATCATATTTTACCATTTAAACACTTAAATCTTCTATTTATTTAGTTGAAAAACTAATATATTGGTGCAACCGCAGACCACGCAGTTACTCACGCTCACCTAGTCAACGCCGTGGTAGAAGCAGAAGCCGCAGTTACAGCAGGGGACGTAGCAACAGGTTTGAATTTGGCTTCCCTTGGCATCCTTGCAACAACAGCCAAATGCTGAAATACAAACTACCTTTGACATTTAACTTATAGTATTGCCCATGAAATAATTCTGTCTGTTCTGAATTTACTATTTGTTGGATTACATTCTAAAACAAAATTATAATGTACTTTGTTTTGATTTATGCATTAAAGTGTCCGTGCAAGTCAAAAGAATTAAGGAAGATTTAAACTACAAAATTGTTTTGGTTTGTTAAACTGTTGGGACTTATTCTTCTTTGCGCTGAATCTTGACCTTTCTGCAGTAGATCAAGATCACCCGTGAAGAGAGATCGAAGTTTCGAGCGTGATGATAGAAGATCAAGGAGTCCTAAGCGCCACAGGGGTTCTCCATCCCCATCCAGAGGGAGGAAGCATACTCCAACACCGGATGAAAGAAGTCCACAAGAGAGAGATAGCCCTTCCCCACGGGATCGCAGGCAAGCCAATGGTTCGGATTACAGTGTAAGTCCTGGGAGCAGGAGCAGAAGCAGAAGCCCTGATCGTGAAGCTGACACCGAGGACAGGGCTTATAGGAGCTCTAAAAAGGAAAATGGCCACAGCCGCAGCCCTAGCCCACTCCCCAGGGATGACCAGAGCCCTATGTACGATGACGATGATAATCATGCTTCTCCTAGGCGCAGTGAATCAAATTAAGCAAGAGGTGGTTTGAATTGGTCTGTCTTAGCGACAATCTGGTTTGCAAGAAATTTGAGTTTTATATATTGATGGATAACTTTTTTCTCTTGAATATTTAAGCGCTGTTAAGATTTATTAAAGTCTGGTTCTATAAATTCCTCTTCTTGTCTGTCTTTGGTAAATTACTTTGCGGCTGCTAGTAAAAGTTGAAATTTTTGCAATAACCTAAAATGAATTTGTTGTTTTTTTTTTTTTTCTTTTTGAAACCTTTTTATAATATCTATTTTTTTAATTCCTCGGGAACCAGTAAGCCAGGCCGTACCCAAAGGAACATCTCAATTTATGTTAGAAATTAACATTTTGAAGTTAATTAAATTGAGAATGAATATGTACCTTATTTAGTTGATGAGAAGAAAAGAAAAAGCGGTGTGAATTAGAGATAGTGTTTTGTATGATGCTGATTATTTTGGTGTTGCTATAGATGATGATGTTATCAAAGTGGTATTATTCACGTATTAGTTTAGGTGGCAAAAAAAGGATTTCTTTTATTATTATTTGGGTTTAAATTTATTTGGTGTGAGAAGATAATTTTTTATGAATTTAATAAAAATTATTTTTTTTATTTTTTTATTGATTAGTTTAGCGTAAATAAATCTGTTCGAGAGTGAAGATATATTTAACGAGCACATTTACTTTCTGTCTTGACTTTTTAGATATAACATTGCTTGCCTGCCATGCAAACCTAGGATTCTCTTATGGGGCACTCAAATTCTCCCTTCCTATTATGATGTTATACACGAAATGAAGTTTTCAACTCCATTGGTAGTTAATGGGATACTTTTATTTGCTTTAGAATTAATTTTGTATACATTACAAATAAAATTTTTAAACTTCGCAAATATTATTAAAATTATTATCATATGTTTCATTATTTATTATGATTTTATTAATTTTTTAACTATATTTTAATAAAATGTGACAAAAAATCTCATTAAAGGTTGATGATATCATTTTTTATTGTTTTATTGGGGATCATCTTTTAAATGATCATTTGGTGCTAAGTTTGGGATTATTTATGCTATGATGAATTTTCTTTAATCTTCTTTTATTAATAAAGCTTCTTATTATCCCTCAAAAGAAAAAAAAAATTGGTAATGATGTTTGGTCTTTAATCTTATTATTACATCTTAAATCATGATGTCTTCTAGAAGTAATAAAGCATGATATATATATATATATATATATATATATATATATATAAAGGGGGAATGATATTATTGAGAGATGCTATTTGTTTTAGGGGTAATAAAGTTCCCAATAATAAGTTAATAATAAAATATTTAGTTCATATTTGATATATAAAATTATAATAGGATAAGATAAGATAATATAATAAATAAAATTAGATTAAATAATATCATCTTATCTTATATTTGATATGTGAAAAAATTAAAATAAAATAATTTATTTATTGATCAGAATTATTATTTTTTAAAGTTTCTATAATTTAATTTTATAAATTAAAATAATTTTTTCTACTTTAAAAAGATTGAGACATTCTACACCAAAAAAATGATAACATTTTTGTAATCATATCATTTTCAATTAGATACAAACAAACATAATATAAAAAAATTATCATACTATTCTATCCATCATCTTATACACAAAACATGACCTTAAGTACTCGTGATAGATATTTTATTTTTATTATTTGCCTTTGATTTTTATTTCTTTTTGACATTTTACTTTTTTTATTCATTTTTAAAAGCAAAAACAAAAACACGTACCATATGAAGCCTTGGATTCATATCTATCTTTTATTGCTCTAGGCTTAAAGTTGTCAATCAACTTTAGCTTGAATATGAAATGTTGTCCTAAAGTTTCAAAGAGTTTGTTTGCCTTAAAAAAAAAAGTACATAAATTTACTCAACTGCGGTGAAACTGTGTTCGGTTCAGAAGGAAAAATTCAAGGACTCAAAATTTCTTCCAAAATCAAAACTACCAATTAAAACCAAACAACTAATGGCTGTGACATACTAACTAAAACAAATAAAATCAACTAACAAGAAATCATACTTATTCAATTGCATAATAAGGTAGAGATGTACAGTAATAGTAGCTTATTTTTGCTAATTTTTTCTGCATATTTACATGAGGTAAATTCTTCAATACCCTAACAAGTTTAGGTGAAAAAAAATTGGAATTTTCGAAATGTCAGTAACAAGAGAAGTATCCACAGATGTTGAAGAAAACTATCAATAATTTGAGGAAAGAGTCCAGGAAGAAATTTCTATTAAATGGATTTACAGTATTGATCATCAAGATTTATGAGATATAGGCCTTTACCAGCTCTGAATAATTGCCGACCAGACCAGTCCTTGAACACGAAATTTTACCATTGCTTTTCTCAGCCATTTCTTTGAGAGCCTACCACACAAGACAAGTAGACAAAAGATTAAACCAAATGAAAAAAAATAATACCAGCAGTAAAATGTAAATATTTGTTAGGTAAAATGTGAACCTTAGTGCTGTAGACATAGCCATTAGGCAAGACTTGTGGTGGGTTTTCTGTATCCATTAGCCCCTTGGTTATGTGGCAGACAACCTTCTGAGTGATGCTGCTTCGAATATGGTAAAGGCAATGCTAACTCCCGGAAGCTTTCCTGTGACAATGGGTCCTCCTTGGTGCAGTCATCTTCATAACAGTATCTAATCATGTCAAAGGAAAAACTGTAGTTGCAGAAATATAGAGGCACTGGAAGCTTATAGAGCTTTAGGAATTTATCTGTATCCAATAAAAGAAATGCAAGTGTGTGTCCAATTTATCTGTAACCTGGAATGCCTATTTGAGGAATGCTCAAAAGTCATATCAGTTTAAGTGTTCTGTTTACATTACTGAGACTACTAAGTTGGCAGATAAATATAGATAAAACAATAGGGAGTAACATAATGGTAATTGCTGCAAGGATACAGAGTTTTCAAAGCAGATAAGCCTGCTTGTAGATAAATATTAAGCAATGGCTCCAGCATCATGCCATATAACCTATAGAACTCCTGTTTAAATGATCCACCAGGAAGTCCCACTGCTTAGCTTCAAACAAAACCTGGTAGTAAATCAAACAAATTCTATGAGCATTGTTCCATCCTGAGCCTTATTCGCTCCCATAAGACAAGATGGTATAAAGAATTAGAGTTTCATGTACATAGAGTTTTGGAAAAAAACTACCATTTGGGAGAAAGTGTGGTCATTTATTAGTAAACATTAAACAACTAACCCATGGCAGATGTTAAGTACGCAAATGAGACAAACAGAGAAAATAGCTTTCGAGATAACTTGGAAGCTAAATAATGGGGGCAAATTATCAGAATAGAAAATCAGTGTCACTACTAGTACCAGCAAAAATGAGTAGTTTAAAGATAAGAAAAAACAAACAACCGTAATGAGCTTAATCATATCTAGCCAATTAGAAATACCAAGCGGAGGACAAGGATTATTCATCTTCGGGCAGACAGAATTGAAGTGAGTGATACCTGCTATTACATTCAGGAATCTAAGTGAGCAAAAGCTTCTTTGAAAACAAAAGAAAAAAGCATCAAAATGATCCTAAGTTGAGCACTAGGATTCATCACCATTGGAACAAAATTGACAAAAAGATGTAGATTTTTAAAATTGTACAATTTTAGCTGAATTATCCATACCAAATATTTGTGTCAAACAAAAAAAAACAAGATCATTTGTCCATTTCTAAATTAAATAAATGATATACATTTACAAAGTCATCAATGATGTAAAATAAAAAATTGAGCTCATTAGTAAACAGAGACATACAGCTGTTTTGCTTTTGCTCCCATTCTTTCAGATTCTTCTATATCTATCATTGCAACCAGTCATTCTACTAAGCAACAAAAGTACCTAAACTAATTTAAAGGAGGGATCAAATTCACCTTGTACTTTGCACATTCAGTATTACTTCTAAAGGCCAATGTTGTCATGACTCGCTGCAATTCTTTCAAATGAGTTGCTCCCCACAATGCAAGGCACCTTCAAGCATACAAAATAGCATGCATGTAGTTTTCAGCTCGAACCAACTCAATGAACTCCTAAAGTCTCAACTGGAATTCAAATTTGCTCTGTCATCAAAATCAACAGAAATTATTCAATCTAAAATCATAGCTATAACTCCAATTTGGGATACCCACAAATTTTTGACAGCATGTACTAAAGAATATCCGCATCTAATGAATGCAGTTAAGAGAGTAGTTTAATAATGAAAATGCTGATAATTCAAAATGAAAGCGCAGTTTTATTTTAACTTTTAGAGAATTATGGTTCTGAAAATGTCAAAACATCAAGGGAAGCTCAAAGAGGGTAATGATCATGACAAATCAGAAAACACAATGAATGCATACCTTGGACTTCTTCAACAGTGATTTGTTATCTACACACCAGGCAAGGGCAAGACCCACCTCATGATTTCTAAGGGCATCAATAACTTTCCTAGCTTCTTGGAAAACATCAATATCAACAATATCCTGGCACATAAAATTCAATTAAAGTATGATCATACCAGTGGCAGACAAGGTGTATATGCCTGCAAAAAATTATTTATTTTTATGTAAAGGTATATTTACTTAAAACAAGAGAAGAGCCAATGCTCAATCAAGGTCAAAGCAGAGTAATTCTTTAGAAGGGTGGCACATGATGTGAAATTCATACAGCGCAGTAACTTCCAAATGTATGCTAAAATGAGCAGAAAGTTTCTATTCGGACCTCAGCAGTATTATGAGGAATACAATTGGAAACTATTGTGAAGACACTGACAAAGATGACAACAAGAATGTTTACTATAATGAGTATTTAAGTTAAAAAATTTTGTGCCCAGTCAAAGCTAGAAACGCCGATGAATGATGAAGCATTCTAATCCAAAAACTTAAACAAGAGTGTACCGTGCATATTGTTATAGAGAAAATATGATGAAACCATGCTGATTCAAGGTAATACTACCAGATAGTCCTTCCAAATTCTCCAATAACCAAAACATAAAATAGCCAGAGCAATTTTTTTGAATTTCCACCTCCATTATTCAATTAAATTTCAAAGAATGACACCTGTTACACCTCCATGGCAAACATATGAAATGCAACAAGCACGTAGATTACCTGCATGTTGCTGCTTTCTGCCAGCTTCATTGCAGTGTCATAATATGACATCCACAAGGATCCGCATCAATCGCACATTATTCCTTTCAGACAGGTTCTCAGCATCCATTGATTCCAAGTGATCAAGACGAGCCCGACACGTCTGCGCCTGCAAGTTCTCCATTCGACTCCCCTCTTCCAACTGAATGATAAAAAAACAGATAAAAGACATCACTTAATCACTACCCATTAACTTAGAAGGGCTATTCATCACTTTGGATAACAAAGTTATCCACTCCAATCTCTTAATTACTAAAACACAAAAGGACGAAACAATTTCTTGGAAAAGAAGAAAAAACATATAGAAATCGCTACCCATGAATGTACAAAGGTTACTAGTATGTCAATTGATGAAACACACACATAAACATAGTCAAAAACTGAACAATTTTGCATTAAATATCATTTCCTTCACTTAATCACTACCCATTAACTTAGAGGGGCCATTCAAATCCTGAGAAGTGAGGAACAAATGAGGAATGAAGTGTAGTCTTCATGAAAAATTTGAGATTGGAGTTGGACCTTCTATGTATACTCATATTTGGGATTTAAGCCCAAATTTCATGTCCAGAACTTTACCCGAAATACTAAAGTTTTACCTTTTCTATATATATAGTATTTCGTAAGAATCAAAACCTTAATACAAATTCTTTTGAAAATATGAAAAATAAAATGATATGCAATTCAAAATTTAAATACCATGATACTATTATTTATATTTATATATTTTTTTATATTTGCAACTATCATCAAAAGTTTAGTTTAATTATTTGAGGATAAAGTGCATACACTTATCATAAAATATTCAAAATGCAAAAATAAAATTATTAATATTAATATACAAATCTACATCCAAGGATAAAACTCTATATTTATACATCCCCTCTTAATTACTTATGATGCCATTTTGGCAAAGTATTATATTACATATAGTATAAATTTTACTTTATCTTAATCATCATTAGCATATTGCATTGAAAAAGAAAGATGATCACTCCTGTAAATGCTGCATAAAAAAATTTTAATGAAAAGACACTGAATTTGGAGATTATGTCCCCGGTCACAACCCATTTTTTTTAGATAGTTTTTTTCTTGTTTCTTTTTTATGCTTTTTATTTGCCTTTTATTAATTTTTCAATGGGCTAGAATTTGTCAAAACTTGCCCTACTAACCAGCGCTCCATCAGCAGCCTCCACCGTGGGACCCAAGAGCAATTTCCCTACACCCGGATCCACCCAATCAAAACCTCCGCCGCTCCCAACTACGGAAGAAAATTCAAAAACATTCCCTCAACGACGAAAGTGCCCTCAACCTGTTCCCAAATTTCCCACTCACAGAAAAGAAACGCTCCCCTCTTCTCTTCTTTGCTATTGGCCGCCTTTCCTTCTCATCATTTCTCTTTCTCTCTCTAAAAATCTTAACGGCCGACGTCTTCCGTCACCGTTAAATCCAGAATTCCAATCGTTCTTTAACGTTGGCCATTAACGCCGTTGACTCCACTCTCTGTCTGTCCATAGCTTTCACTTTCTTCACTTTGTCTGGATAATTCTGTTTAAGTACCTTAAATTTCGGGGAATTTTTTATTTTTTATTTTCGAATTTTGAAAATTTTGTACTTTCTTGGGAAACACAGTATCTCTCCTTTAATGGTGAGTAATGAAATGCAAAGATTTAATCTTTTCTTCTTTTGAAGTTTTCTAAGTAAAGATTAATTTTTTGCGTTAAATTCTTGATTTTATTTTCTGGGTTTTATTTTAAATTTTTTAATTTTTGGGTTTTCCTTAATTTTTTTGACCGTTTGAAGAGGGAAGCTGAGTTCGGAAATTTTGGTGAGTCTCTCTCTTTTTCTTTATCTTTTTATTTTTTCATACAGGTCTGTTTGGTTGCTGAGAAAGTTGAAGGACATGGAAAATAAAGTTTTCACGGATTGTTTTCTCATGCTCTGTTTTTCAAGTTCAAATCTTTTCTTCTGATTTTCTTATAAGTTAATTTCAATAGATCGATTTCAATTCTATTCTTTTATAGTACTTAGCATTTACTGAAGGTTTTTCATTTTTTCCCATAATTGTATTAATTTTTTATTTCATGAACAGTCTCGGATCCTTCTATTTTGTCAGAATTTTATCAAATTAATTTCATTTCTTTATTCTTTTTAAACGGGTTTTGGGAGGTTTTAGGGAGTTGAAAATGGTGAGTCAGGGTAATTTGGTCCTTTTGATAACTCTACCTTTATGGGGTGGTAGATTAAAATAATTTAGATTCAATCCCAAGCCCTGCTCTGACGGATAATTTTTTGGTACATAATTTTATTTGTTTAATATAACAAAAAATCTTTTTGCAGGCAACTGAGGGGTGCAGAAATCATTAAAAAAATGAAGTTATATAATAAGTACATATGAGGTTTTTTCTTTTTTTTTTTCTTTTTATGGTTTTATTAATTTGCATGTAAACCTGGTTCTTGCATTTTGGTTTCTAAAACATTTGCTCTATTGCTAAAGTTGTCTTACTGTTTGCATGTTCTTCCTCTTTTTCTTTTTGAAACACTTTATTTTCCCCCTTTTTTCTTTTTCAGTGAATCTTGGTTACTAACTTTTGCTTTGTACCTTTGTTTTGGTATTTGGATTTGTATTTATTTTGCTGTCTTGCTTGGCTTTTCCAACTAAATGAATCATAAATTTTGAGTATTGTTTCCATGGTTTTAGCATTTTAATATTGTCAATGCATAACCAGGGCATATTTCTCTGTATCAGGTTCTTTTTCAAGATTGGAATCTCAATGTTGCATATGCTTTCTTTTTCTTGAATCTGAGATATTAATCTATTACTGTGAAATTGATGAGTTGTATGTACTTGTTTTCTTAACCAAGATCTATTTCTCTGGTATTTGCTTTTTAGATTGTCCCCATTGTCTCTAGTGATATTGATGATATTTGTATGTGTGTTGACATCCTTTTCCTCTTTTTTTTATTAACTTTTATGGTTTATGCGTTCTAACTCCAGGTTCTCTGAGGCCTCATTCTTTTATAAAAGCATTGGGATTCATTCCAGAAATTTTCATGAGCTTTAGCTAGCAGTTCTTGTTGATGATATATAGAGATGAAGAAACTGTTTTTCTTCAAATCTTCCTCTAACAGTGGTAATAGCAATGCTGTTCCTTCACCTTCAGCAGATAAGCAAGTTTACCGGGAAAACACATTGGATGATGGGTTAGATGATCAACATGGTGACAAGGCTGAATTCAGTTTTCACAGTCCTAAACATTTGTTTGGAAAATCTCGAAAGCAAATATATGATAGCCCAAACTTTAGTAACACTTCATGTCTTCAAAGGAGTCGTTCTTTGTCATCGGCAGCATTTCTTGTTGATGGGCTAGGACAACAAAATTTTTCTTCCTCAAATGATCAAAATAGGTCTCCTAATATTACTCCACATCAGCAATATGATCACTCAGCTCGGTGAGGAATTTGATGTGCTTCTTCATTTATGGAGTATAAAAATTTATTGGTTATACCTCATTTTTTAATGCATAAATCTAAGGGCATAACACTCGTATTCTTGTGGTTTATTCTAGGCGGAGGGCTCTTACTCCTGAGAAGAAATCTAAGGCTAAACAATGTGAAGGGGCAGCAATTGGTTTCGAAAGGCCCCATTCTTCTGGTTCTTCAAGGATGCACCATGATTCATCTGGAAGCTCTTCCTCTTGCTCTAGCAATGTGTCAAGTAAAGTTATAGACCGCTATATTGATGGAGAACAGCAGCTGGAGATTAACAAGTCCAAGAACAGTTCAAAAAGATATAATCTTGGAAATGGTCGTGGGAGGCTTGCTCCACAAGTTCAATGTACAGCCCCTTCATCTCCAACAGATAGTGCCAAAGAGAAAAACAAGTCTCATTCATTTAGTGAAGCAAAAGGCACGCATCTTCATTTCTCATCTAGAGACTGGGTGGAAAATGGATTTGGGCATGAGTCACCAAGGATGATTGCAAAGAATGTGATTGAGAGGCTTTCGCAGATTCATGTTATCCCAAGATCAAGTTCAAAGGAATTTGACTGTCATATTCCAATCACAACAGAAGATGTTTATGGTGGATACTTAAATAAATGCCCTGATTCCAAATTGGATATGTTGGCCCAAAAAAGTTATGTAACAGATGAACCTTATGAAAATGTTATTAGGTATCATGAGAATTTCTCAGGCTTGGAGGAGCCATATTGTTTCTTTGGGAGAAGCTGTGATGGTTTGAACTCTTCTGAAACAGAAGAGAATGTAGATGTGGAATTACAAAGAAGATCTAAAGAAGCTGAGGAGAGAGTCTTGCTTCTTTCTGAAGCTCTTGAGCAGGAAAAATTTCTTCATGACAATGGGTTCGATATTTCGTCACTCATTCAGACCATTAGGCACCTAACAGAAGAGAAAATAAACCTGGCACTTGAGGTTTCAGATCTTCTGCAGTCTAGAATTGCTGAGAGAGCTTGTGCTGCGGAAGAACTGAGAATGGCAAGGGCAGAATTGGAGTCACAGACAAAAAAATTAGAGAAGGAAAAGCATGAGATAGAGTTGGGATTGGAAAAGGAGTTAGATAGAAGGTCAAGTGATTGGTCGCTTAAGCTTGAGAAGTATCAGTTAGAAGAGCAAAGGCTTCGTGAACGAGTTAGAGAGCTAGCAGAGCAAAACGTTTCACTCCAGAGAGAGGTCGCTTCCTTCAATGAGAAGGAAACGGAAAACAGAAACATTATGATGTATTCAGCAGAACAACTTAAAGAGTTGACTAGAACGGTGGAAAGGTTGAATGATGAGCATCAAGACCTAAGGCAAAATCTCTCTCAATCAGAAGAGAAGTATAGAGCAGCAATAGGAGATCTAGATTGCATTAGAAGAAATTTTGGAGAGAAAGAGAAGGAGTGCAAAGAGTTGCAAAAGTCCATTACCAGATTATTGCGAACCTGCAGTGAGCAAAAGAAAACAATTGAAGGGTTGCGAGAAGGATATAATGAGGAGATAGAGAAGAAGCAGTCCATGGAAAAGAATGAAAAGCAGGTAAAAAAATTGCAAATGGAGCAAATGAGGTTGACTGGAGTGGAATTGGCATTAAGAAGGGAAGTGGAGTCTTTTAGACTCGAAGTTGATTCTCTTCGACATGATAATATTGATTTATCGAATCGCATAAAAGGTAATGGAAAAGACATCGGAGCTTTAACCTTCAAGCTAGACAAGGAATTGTGGAATCGTGTATGCTGTTTGCAGAATCAAGGACTCTCTATGCTTAATGAGTGCACCCACTTGTCTTCCAAGTTAATTGAGTTCATCAAAGGAAGAGCCAGTCAGCTTCAAGAAACTCAGCAAGGTCTAGATGGTCAATTTATTATTGAATCTGATATGAAAGTACTAGGCTTTAAACGTGGAATTGAAAGTCTTACAAGGAGTTTGCGGACAATATCCACTTTGCTGCATGAGAAATCCGGTTCAGTTGCCTCAAACTCTCACTCAGTATGCATGGATCCTGATGGGTCAACGAAACTCAACAATCAATCTTCAGAGGTAATTGCCAAAATATACAATTGAAGGCAGTATACGTTGAATAAATGGTTTTTCATTGCTGATTACTTTTAAGTATGTTTATTCATTAAAATTTTTTTTTCAAGTATAGGTTTATTGTTTTTCTTTTCAAGTTTATACTCACTGCTTTTGTTAACATTCACTTTACACTTTTCTAGGAGATTATAAGAGCTGAGCTTAAAGCAGAAACGTTGCTGACAAGTTTGTTGAGGGAAAAGCTATACTCAAAAGAGCTTGAAGTAGAACAGTTGCAAGCTGAGTTGGCAGCAGCTGTGAGAGGTAATGACATCCTTAGATGTGAAGCACAAATTGCAATGGACAACATTTCCTGCCTCACCCACAGATTGAAGGATCTTGAACTGCAGGTAACTTTTAATGTTTAAACATTATAGGTTTTTTCTGCATGTATGCATGAAATTCTTTCTTCTAATTTTGCAGGTGAATAGTAGGTATAAACAAGTAACTACCTACTGAAATAGGCTTCTTTCCATATCTGACATTTAGTTTCTTGCTTTTGACTTATTTGCATATTTGGAAATCCTGTAGTAGTTATAACTGAAAACAGCTAAGCTGGTAGCTTGAATATCTTCTAATGGAACTTACAATCACCAATCTTTATCACATACTGTGCTAGGAAAAGCAAATGATCATTGGGTATTGCGAATGTATGTGTTGGGTGGGGTAAGGGAGGCTGAGATATCGTGTATACATTTTTTTTATCCACTGTCCATTAGTGAAAATTGTTACAAAGAAGTAAAAAACAGAAACGAAGCATAAAAAAAAAAAAAAAACCAGCAGTTGGGAGAAATTACAGGTATCTATCAGGGAAATTGAAATATTTTAGTGTCAAGTTCAGGTATCTTAGAGTTTGATATGAGTGCGTCCCTGTAGTTGCTTGATGTTTGTGCCGCAGTCCAGTTTCTTTGTTTTTTATATTTTGAAGTTTGAACCAATATTTTATCTTATGCGTTCGCTATAATTATGGCATTAGCATTCACAAGAGGAGACCATTCTAAAAGCTCATAAAGCATTTCTTTCTAATTATTTTTATTTTTTTAAATACGGTTTAATTTGAACAGACACTTAAGAAAGACGAGAAAATAAGCTGCCATCAGAATGACTTACAAGAATCAATGAAGGAACTAACCATCTTGAGAGGGATCCTGCCTAAGGTTTCCCAAGAGAGAGATTTGATGTGGGAAGAGGTGAAGCATTATAGTGAGAAGAACATGCTTTTAAACTCGGAGGTTAATATATTAAAAAGGAAGATAGAAGCTCTGGATGAGGATATACTTTTAAAGGAAGGCCAAATTACTATCTTGAAAGACACCATAAGCAACAACAAAACTTTTGACCTTCTTGGCAGTCCTGATTCTACGCAAGAATTCCTGCTTAAATGATTGGCAGAGAGGCTGGTTTTGGTTTATAGGTGGATAATCACACTGTTCATAGTCTTATACTTTTGAATTTGTTTTCTAGAGGTTGCTTTTTTCTTTTTCTTTTCTTTTGTTCTTTTCTCTTTTTTGAAGTTTTGGGTGAGCAAGAGGTGAAAAAGGGACACACTTGATTATTTTGTTATAGATTAAAAGTCTTACCAATCGTATGTGGTTGGTTTTCATCTCACAAAACCAGAAGAAATTTATCACTCTGTGTAAATGCAAATGTAGATACAATTTCGATTCAGGCAAAAAAAAAAATTTGTTACTGTCAGTTTCCTAGTGTTTCAACATGAATATGGAACTATATACCATTGCAGACAAAAATTTATCAATGATTCAAAATAACATTGAAGATGAAAGCATTAATTATCAAAGCTGAAAAAAATGAAGGCATAATCTTGGGCCAACCGGACCCAAAAAAGGAAGGCTTCTCCAGCCTCCGTGCATTCAGACATAGATTGTGTTCATATTTCATCAATCAAAGAATTCTGTACAAGAGATTGATGCAATAAGGTCTTCCAGATTAAAGCTGGGATTTCATTTTCTTGATTACATTCTTGATGCCCTTTGTCTTATATGACAATTTGGCAAACACTGCTTTAATTGAATCCACTATAATTTGAGCATTGTCTGTGAATATATGAAATTTTAGTGGTAAAAAATTGTCTTGAGAAGCAATAGAACATAGTCATATAGTCATATAGAAATATCCTCTTTTTAACTCTATGGCTCTAACCATGCCCAATCCTATTGAACTGATTCCACAGATTTGCCTCGAAATAATATTTGCTTTCACAGTTTTGTCATGGTCTTTCTTAATTTTACGTTCGTCGACAATCATCACAAGTTATCGAATGGAGGCAGCAACCAAGCAACCCACAGCGCCCATAGCTGCTGCTACCTTTCCCAGCCTTGCTACTTTCCAGCACTGCTCTACTTTCCAAGACTGTTCTTGTTGTTTAATACTGAAGAAACAACTGATCAAAACTTTGATGTTCGTGCTTTCTGCCTTGAAAAGTTTCAAGATGGAGATAGTTTAGGGTTCTTTCCGGCTGCAAATTGTTTACCATAGATTTTGCATAGAGCCTGGTTTGGGTAGACTCAAAATTGTCCCATTTTTTTTTTAACAAAAGAGATTAAAGTCTAAAAAAAAAAAAAAAAATTGCACATTTAAACCACAAATCTGTTTAATGTTATCTCTTAATCCATTTGCAGTCTTTATCTTATAGATAAAAGTCATTCAAATCAGATTATAGGCAATTAAAAGACTTTTTTAAAGTTAGTCGAAATGAATGTATAATTAAGTTTACAAAGATTTGTTTAATTTATCAAAAACAAAAAAGACTCTCATTCTTCCTGAAACAACAAGGGATGGGCATCTTATTGTCACTTTACAGGGTATTAGAAATCAATGTGCTTACGGTTACATATGAATGAGAGTGGATGCAAAAGGTGGTCATCTTTGAAAATCATTCGGATGCAGGTCTCCAGAAGTCGAATGGTTTCCGATGCTGGAAAAAAAATTACAAAAGTCAATGGTTAATTATAATAGTATAATGCGGTTAAAAGGAATGAATTTTGTTTTTCTTTTTAAAGGAAAAAAAAAACCTACAATGTAATTTAGAATTGACACCACCCAGCATATCCTCTCTGACTGGCTTACCTACATGCATGCAATGTAGATGTAGATGCCAGCAAAACTTCCATTACATGCTTCTATATTTCTTACTGTGTTTACGACACAGACCATAATCCGCTCAGGGCACAACCCAGGCTAAGTAATTAAATAACAGGCACTATGTAACAACCATAAACTCATCCACGTATAGAAAAATCTACAGCTATCACTAAACATATTCTAAGCAAGCACCAACAAGGTCAATGCTGAAAAATTTCATAGGGTTCAAGGCCTAGCCCTCAGAGTAGAATGCGCTGATTTGCTAGGTTGGTTTCAAGCATATGGAACTATTTGTAGATATCAGACCTACCAAAGCCTCAAGCTGGTATCTAAGTTTAAGGAGCCATCCCGCTGATTACAGCTAATATAGTCTAAATAGAGAACCAGCCATGGCGATATTTCTAAGAGCCTTAAAGGAATAGATAGGAATTTACCTTTGCAATTGGCATCTTTGCCCTCACTGAATCAATCAATGAGAAATCAATATCAGCTATGGTGATCCCAGTTGACAATCGATCTGAAAGAAAAAAAAAAAAAACAACTAATGTTGCTTAAATTGCCACCACATGCACTTAAGTAATGAAAAGGCAATTCAATTCATTACTAAATTAACATTAAACTTTTTGTTCCTGCAAGAAGAAGGGGACTGCTTGCTCCAATGAAATAACCACACTAATTTGACCACTGAAAGGGCAACTCCATCTAACCTGGTAATCGGCCAACAACTGTTCCCCATGGATCAATTATTAGTGTCTCGCCATAGCTTTCTCTTATCTCATTATGCTTTCCAGCTTGAGAAGAAGCTACGATCTAATAATGAAGTCTTCTTGTCATTCTCAGAAAGAAAGTAGCAAATGACAAAAAAGAATAAAAGATGGGCCATTAATAAACTAAATTTGTCCTTAAAACACTTTGGAACAACAAATATTTTGCCAATGGAGGAAACAATGATTTGTCACCAAAACCATGTATTGAGAGACAGGTTAAGTAAAAGTGAAGTGGAAATGGGTTCCATACATAGCACTGAGTCTCAATTGCACGAGCGCGAAGAAGAATCTCCCAATGTGCCTGACCAGTAACCCTTGTGAAAGCAGCAGGTACCAATATGACCTACAAACATAATCCATGGAACAATTTTCGTGACATTGAAAAACAACTACATTGGAAAGTGTAGAATTCCAATTCCACCTGTGCATCATGATGGAACCTTAACTGCTGGTAAAGTTCCGGGAATCTCAAATCATAGCAGACTGTCAAACCCAAACGTCCAATAGGACTGTCTACTGCAGCAATATCCATCCCTGAATTCATGCTAATTTAGATTGATTAAATATAGCGTGGGAAAGAACCTTCCCTTGCAAAAGTAAACAGCCTGTTTGACTCACAGGTCATACTCTCTTACCCGGAACATGCTATCATTATATTTTAAGCAAACTTATTAGCATACCCTTTTGAGGGATTTGCAAGATGTCACGAGACAAACCTATTGCAACACTTTTATACATTCATCAGAATTAAGGAGCCATAGCAAGAATATTAACAAATATGAGAAACAGGCCAACACTGCGAAACAAAATGAGAAGGAGTTCACCTGGTTCTGTAAAGCTGCTTTCTTTGTATACTGCTCCTCCAGGAACATCCACATCAAACCTTCCAATATAGGGGAAAAGTCATATCAATAAATTTATATAATAATAAACCAAGAGCAACAGATAACATGAGAGATATGTCCTATCACATTAAAGAAAGAAAACAGTATCTCATAGAAACTTATAAACATCGTACATGTGTATCTTACTGTATGTGCTTCTAATGTTCCCAGCATCATCAATTACAACATGTGTATTTCGCAAGTGTGCATCATCATGTCCTTTCTCTGGGAACCCTCCAAGGGACAACCAAATACCATATTCTCTGCATTCTTGACACCAAGTAAGCAAATCTCAAAAATTCAAAAAATGTTTATTACGTGCAGAACTGCAGATGGTCGATATACAACACTGTCAAAGTCTTACAAAGAAATTAAAGTGGAAAGGGATTCTACTGACAACAATGATTCTTTTCTTTTCTCTCTAGAAGCAATAACATTATGAAAAGACAATCATTAAGCAATGAAAATTGCTAAACATTGCATAAAATGAGGCACATGTGATCAAAAAACCAAGAGAAAATAAGAGCAATCAAAATTACTACCTTGCTAAAGAGCAATATTTTTGCATAATCGGTCCATCTAAAGGTTCTGCAATCAAAAGACTATCTCCGGACAAGCCACCCACGTAGGAGAAGTTTTCAGGAAAGCAAAGCATTTTTGCCCCAGCTGAAACTGCTTCCTTCATAATTAACCAAAAGATCCAGAAAACTATTCAGAACAATATATATATATCAAAAGACCAAAACCTTAAATGTTACAATAAAGCAAATGCAATTATTTAAAAGTAAATTCACATTTTGATAAAATTGAATAAATTAATATTAATTTTATTTTTTTAACTTTTTGATAAGGGATAATACCTTATTTAGTCCTTGAATTATTGTAATTTTTCTAATGTGATATCTAAACTAAAAAAAATTTCTAACCAAGTACCTAAACTTTAATTTTGTGGATTAAGTTGCCTCAACCCCTTAACATTGTTAGAATAATGCTGATATGGTACTTAAATGCTGAAGTGGATGACACGTGACATTTTTAAAGAATAAAAAATAATAAAAAAAGTTTTTCCTAAAAATCATATTTTTTAATTTTTTTTATTTTTTAAAAATGACATGTAACAACCACATCTAGATCACATGTCATCTACGTCAGCATTTAAATACCAAATCAGTGTCATTTTAATGTTGTTAAGGGTTGGATAACTGAATACACGAAAATGTAATTTAGGTACCAAATTAGAATTTTTTTTTATTTAGGTACCACATTAGAAAAAGTATAAAAGTTCAGGGGCCAAATGAGGTATTATCCCTTCTATTAATACCCGGAAAAATTCAGCCAAATATATATCAAAACACCAAAGCCTGGGGCTCTATTGACTACTATTTCCATTTTTGCTTCCTTAAATGTGACTATAAGGCATATGAAATTATTAAAAAAATAAATTCATATTTTGATAAAAATGAATAGATTAATACTGAAAATTCATTTTTAAATTTTAATTCATTAAAAGTATTGCTTGCTACTTTATCTAAATTTATTATTTAGGTTTTGATTCCGAAAGCAAAATTAAATATAACAAAATAACAACCAAACTAAGCCTTAAAAATCCATATTTTCTTAAAATGATCAAATAAATAAAAAGAACACCAAATTAAACAGTAATTCCTGGCTTTACTATTCATAAAAAAAGTCAGATTTTTTATTAATTTCTCGAATTCAAATCCGTTTAGAAAAAAAAAAAAAAAAAGCTTTGACCATTGAAGAAAATCGTGAAATTAGCACAAATTTAATTCAAAATTTTCAAATTAAATTATATACTTAAAAAAATGAAGGACTTGACTTTACTTTGACGAGGCGAGAACAAGTGGAGAAATTGGCGTCGATGTCGTCGAAGGAGGTCATCTGAGCAGCGGCGACTCGGACTGAGTTGGATGCGGCCATGGTTGACTCGGCGCGTGACCGTATCGTCGAGGAGTTGGTGTAAGAGTTGACGTGGCTTGATCTACTTGGACGATTAAGAGCAGCGGCGTCGAGAGTGAAGAGAGACAACAATTTAGCAAAATTTTTGTAAATCCACCGAACTTAAAAACGCCAACAGTTGTATCTCTATTTTTTTTCCTTTTTTTGTCAAAATTTACCTAATAAAGTTAATACGATGATGTTATTTTTAAAAAATATTTTAATTTTTTTATATCTATTTGGTTAAAGGTATAAAAAGTGTTGAACTATAATTAAACATTTTATTTAAAGTTTTTTTTATTATGATCAATCAATTTTTTAATATTTATTTATATTTAATTAAGTTTTTTGTTTGGATGAAAAAATTAATATCATTAATTTTTTAATTAAAATAAAATTTCATATGATATTAATAAATTAAATGAAAATTTATCACATTACACAATTAATATATATAAATTTAAATAAAATATAATTTCTTTTTCTTTTTCTTCTCTATTTGCTTTTTCACTTTTTTTAAAATCATTTTAAAAATTCAATTGATTATAGTTCGAAAATTATTTTATTTAATTTTTTCACGTGATTAAGTTTTAAACAACTAAGGATTAATATGAGTTGAAATAAAAAAAATTAAAAATTTAATTGATTGTAATAAAATATTAAATGTTTAAATAATTATTGAATTATAATTTATAGGTATTTTTAATTTATTTTATTTTAAAGGTTAATATTTATTCATTAATGAAATGATATCATCTGATTCATTAATAGTATATAAAATTTATATACTAATAATTAATCAAATATAAATTTTTACTTATTATATTTATCTTTGATGCACATTAGTGTATAAACTTTATACATTGTTAGTGATTTTGATTATGTCACCTTATAATAAGGTGAATCAAAAAATATTATCTCATTAATAAGTAAATTTTTTAAAAATATTAATTTTTATATCTATTTTAAATGCTAATATTTGTTCATTAATGAAATAGTATTATCTGATTTATTGACAGTGCATAAAATTTATATATTAGTAACGTATCAAATATAAACTCTTACTTTTTTTATTTATATTTTATGTACTATAAATGTATAAATTTTATATACTATCAATAAATCAGACGATACCACCTTATTAATAATTAAATCAAATAAAGTCATATCATTAATAAATATGATTTTTTAAAAAAATATTAATTTTTTGTACATCTATTTTAAGTCTTTTATGTTTACTTGTTTATAAAATGACATCATCTGATTTATTATAGTTAACAGAATATATACACTAATAATATATTAAATATAAGTTATTTCTTATTTCTTTTATATAAAAAATAAAAATAATATTTAGAGAATTTTCAGATAATAAAATATAAAGTTCTACTTTTACATAAAATTATTATATTTAAATGTGTATTAGATTTTATTATTTCTTTAATACATTATTTATTAAATTTCTATTTTAGTTTTTACTAATTTTTTTAAAAAATAAATAGTAAAAGTATTAATTTAAATTTAACATGTAGAATATAAATTTTTTAAAATGTTTTTGTCGGTTTAATCTTTAAAATTTAAAACAAAAATGATTGTACGTATTGTCTAAAAACAAAGGCGGATGTTCTTGTTACGGTGAGGTGTTCATGACACCCTCAAAAATTAAAAAATTTAAAGGCTTACTTTTCCCTAAACATCCTAAAGTTTTTCTTTGCACAACTCAAAATTTTTTTTAAACACTTTAAAATGATTTAGTTACGTTTTTTAAGAATGATGTATTTGATAATATTAACAATAATAAAATTATATTTTTATTTCAAGATATGAGAATTAATTATGGATAATTATAATAATATATTAATATATTATTTTAATTTTAATTTATAAATTTTTATATATTATAAAGGGACATTATAAAAAAATTATAAACTGACACTGCTCAAAAAAAGTAAAAAAAGTGAACCTAAAATAATAATTAAAAAAAAAAAACTCATGGCACACTTGAATTTGTAGTATTTTGATTTAACGATAAATGTAGTAATTTTTTGGTTAGAGAGTTATTTCAAAATTTTTTGTAAAAAAATAAAAATCTTGCATTAATAAAGGACAAACAATGTCAAACAAACATGCAAATCTCAAATAACATGAATCCTTACTTTTGTTTTTGTTAGATGATAACTCCATTTTGACAATTGACTATTATTGTCTCGTTTATGAAAGGTTTACATTTAAATGAAACCCATATACTATATAATTTTTGTTAGTTTGATATTTAAAATATTTAAATTTTTATTTCGTCAAATATTTTATATTTTAAATTAATATATTAATCAACTTACTAATGTGATATGGATAACCAATAACATATAACACGTGATAAAAATTATCTCATCATTAATCACCACATTTGCATAAATATGAAAAATAAAAATAATTTTTTTATTTTTTATTTTTTACTTTAAAGAAGTTTTAAATGCACCCCAGTTTTTGCTTTATACAATCTTACTTTTTTTGTTTTTCAAACTTTTTATAAGTAAAATTATTTAAATATTTTTTTTGCAAGTTTTTGGATATTTATTATTTATAAAAAATCATAACGTTTCTCGTAAATTTATTTTTGAAAAATTAAAACATTTCTTGAAAATGTATTTATAAGATTTCGTAACAAAATTTACGAAAAAAGTATAAAAAAAGAAATTTTATTAAAATTATTTACATATAAGTGTAGTAAAAATGTTATTATTAAAAATAATAAATTTTAAAATTAATAAAAATTTACTTTCACTACTTTAATTTTAGAGGTACACAACATTTTTGAATATAATAATTATATGCTGGTTCGGATTTTTTATGACATTTCAAAGAGTATAAAAAATAGAAAAAAATCTCCATTGTCATATCCTGTGCCTCGTACAAATTTGAGAATAAGAAAGGTGTTGAAAGAATTGGAATTAATTCAAAACTAAAGATTTTTTTTACCATCAATAAAAAAAAAAATAATATTACTAAATATTATATAATTTTGTTAAAATTTAATATATTAATGTAAAAAATCTATCATGCTAAGTAGATAAATAATATTTCTCATAAAATTCGGTTTAATTAAAGTTATTATAAAATTTTAATAATTAATACAAAAAATATTTATTTAAAAATAATAAATTTTAAATTTATGAAAAATTATCTTTATTATTTTATCTTTAATTTAATTAGACTCTCAAAAATATTTTTTTAATGATAATTTTTTATTATATTTATTTACAAATAATTTTAATAAAAATCATTTTTTTGTAATTTTTTGTAAAAAGATGTTATGGATTTTTCAAAAACTATAATACTTCTGTCGAGAAATGTTATCATTTTTCAAAAATTTATTTATGAAAAATGTTATGATTAATCGAAAGTGCATTTTTCAAAGTTATAAAATTTATAAAAAATTGTATCCTAGTAATTTGATTTAAAAAATAAGAAAATATATTAAAAAAAACACACACAGTGGTGCAAATAGAATTTCCCTTTATTTATTCTTTTATCTTCGTTTTTCCTTCTTTTCATTTCTCTCCCTCACATATACCCATCATCATCCACCTTAAGCAATCCCTTACTTAGCAGAGTATATCCAACTCGTTACTCTTACCATCGTCTTCGTCCTCCTCTTTAAAACATTGCTTCAGTTCTTTCCTTTTTTAACAAGCCTCTAAATTTTCCTCTGTAAATTTCAATTTAACATTCTCCCTCTGCCCTTTTATTAATTTCGACACAACCTAAATGAGATTCACTTGAACAAAAGCACGTTTTCTGGTTTTGAGGCATGTGGTTGCAATATCTTTTTTATGTTTTTGCAGGTTTCTTTCATTTGCTTAAATTTGGAAAATATTGTTTCGAGTGTTAAGGCTTGAAATGAATTTTTGTTATTTTGATTCTTGCTAGAGATTTGGAGAAAGGAATTTCAATGAAATGATATTGAATTGACAAGAAAAAGAGGGAGAATTTTGCATTGTAGGATGTTTGGTTTGTGAGAAAATCTGCGTTTGGTCAGTAGGAAAATGAGGAAAAATGCAGATTTCTTTCATCTGCTTAAATTTGGAAAATATGATTTCGGGTATTAAGACTTGAGATAGGTTTTTGCTGTTTTGATTTTTGCTAGAGATTTGGGGAAGGGAATTTCAGTGAATTGAGATTAATTTGCCGAGCAAAAGAAGAAGGATTTTGCATTGTAAGTTGTTTCGTTAGTGAGAAAATAAGGGAAAACACAAAAGGAATTCTGGGTTTGGTCAATGAGAAAATGAGAAAAAAATGCAGGTTTCTTTCATTTATTTGTACTTTTTGTTATTTATATTTTTCTTCATGTTGAAACGGTGCCCATCAATTGCGTGGCATTTTTATAATGTACTATGATTTTTTTATATTTATGTCAAATCAATAATTTAATTAACCAATACATATTTAATATTAAAATTAAAATTTTTTTATTAAATTAAAATTTCATAATTTTTAATATCAAAAATAAAAAATAAAAATATAATTTTAAAATATAAAAATAATAATTTTAAATATTAAAAAAATTAAAATATAATTTGAGACATTAAAAAAAACAAAAAGAATATTTAATTATGAATTTTAGTTTTTTAAGTACTAAACTAATAAAACTTATATAATGTAAGGGCTAAATTTATATTTAATCCATTACAATTTTTTTTACTTTTATCATCATTCATTCAACACATTATGGGAAAGGGAACCTCTTGCCAATTGGCAATACCTTTCAATCTAATATCCTCACTGCAAAATTTGGTGAATGCGTCGAGAATCCAAGCATTTGGTTACTGTTCAAACAATTAATTGGGGGGACGAAATTAGTAAAAGAAAAAACAAAGAAATTTCTCTCTTATTAACAAGTTGATTTAAGACATTAAAAACATATAAATAACGACAACAGAAAAAGAAAAAGATTAATAAAATTATGTTTTTATGTTTGTATGATAGACAAAATAGAACTTACCCCAAATCTTCTCATTTTATATTTGTCATGATTGAAATTAACATAAATTCAAAAGAATCGACTAGAGATATCATTGATTCAATCAAAATATTTTATTTTTATTTAATTTTAATGATTGAGTTGAAATCTACGATTATCACACACTTTTGAATTCAATAAATAAATTAGTTATATAAAAAAAAAAACAAAATTTTTTTACAACATTGAATCCAACTTGATGCTTAATTTTCTAATTATTTTGGGCAAGGCAACAAAACAATATTATTGAAGAAAAAAGAATCCATATAATTTTACAACCAAGGCTTATATATGAGAAAAATTACTATTATATTGTGAACCGAATCATGAAAATGAGAAATAAGGAAGAAATTCAAAATAATTCTCAAAAGGGGAAAGTTTTTTAGTTTTCTAAAAAAAGGAGGAAGCTAGATGAGTAAAATTTGCCTAAATTGTTGGTTGGTTGAAAGCTGAAGGTCAAAGTCAAAAACACCTGTAGCCAATAAATTAGAAAAAAAAAAAGAAAAAAAAATCGAACCCAAAACCATAAGCTAAAAAGCCACGCAGAGGAAAAAAAAAAAGAAAAAAGGAAGCCTCCTTTTATAATGGTTCCTCAAACTCAAGATTTGTTTTGTTAAAAAAATTCCCTTTTTTTTTCTTTCCCGTATCTCTCTCCAAATCTACCTTTCAAACTTTCTTAGAGCCTTCTCCTCTTTTCTTTGTTTTATTTTGTCTCAAAACATTCTTAAAACATCTTCCTTTTTTTTATTTGATTCTTTGGTTTATCCAATCCTTCAAAATAATGGGTCTTTCGAGTCATCTTAGACAGGCTTAAACTGAAAAGATCATACAAAATTCTTCATTGTTTTATAAGGTATGTAAGCAGAAAATCTCCGCTGGATATTTTTTTAAATGATTATGACATGTAGTTGCTTATTATTGTTTGATGTTTTTAAGTGATCGGTGTCTGTCTGAAATTCTTTATTTTGTTCCAAGTTCCTTTTGTTTTTCGCAATTTCTAGAAATACCCATCATTTTGGTTGATGTTAATGCATGTAAAAGATTGGCAATGTGGAATTTTGTAATTGTTTTGTCTGATGCTTTAAGGGTACAGATTGGTTAGTGTCTGAAAATTTTTAATTTTGTTCCAAAGTTATTAGTTTTGAGTTCTATTTGGTTTCCATTTTAATGCATGTAGAGAGGTGACAATATGGAATTTTAGTCATGGTTTCAATTCCTTCGATGTTGTGCAAACTGATTGGTGTCTGAAATTTTCTTGATTGTATTCTTCTTCTTATTATTCTAAAGTTCATTTTTTTGTTTTTTTTTTTCGAACAATCAATTTGTTCCCATTTTAATGCATGTAGAAATTGGCAATGTGGAATTTTGGTCATGTTTTCAAGTTCATGTCTTTTGTTTGATGTTTTTAAGGTATAGAGTGATCATTGTCTGATTTTTTTTTTTTTTAATTTTGTCCCAAGTTATATTTTTGCAGTTCTAGACATGCCCGTTAATCTTTTTCCATTTTAATGCATTTAGATGTTGACAATGTGGAATTCTAATCTTGGAGTTTCTTGTTCATTGCATGAATTTCGAGGTCATGTGTATTGGTTTGTTGGATCTCCAAAAGAATAAATAGACTGATGGTGCCAATATTCTTATTTTTGCCCTGAATTCATTGCAGTTTTATGTGAATAACCATTTTATGATGCTGTTAGTAATGCCTGTCTTTAAGTTTTGTCTAGAATTGTGCAGTTTATGGGATGAAAATGAAGGTTTTATAATATCTTTTTATTGCAACCATGCAGATTAATGTTGTCTGCATTTATCAATGTGTGTTTGATTTCTGAAACTTCTGTTGCGGGTTTGGAAATTGAGCAGAAACCAGAGCAAATACTTAGGATCAATAGAGCTCCCAGTGTTGATTTTATGAACAATTTGATTGCTGGATCATTTGGGTTAGAACATGTAAGTTATGGTATCAGCAGCATTAATGCGAATTGTGCCACCCTGCTGGAGGCCTTCTGTTGAGGGTGAAAATTCTAGTAGAGGTGGGGATGCTAATGGTAGGGTTGATGGATTGTTGTGGTACAAAGATTCAGGAGAACATGTTAGTGGTGAGTTTTCAATGGCAGTAATTCAAGCAAACAATCTATTGGAAGACCATAGCCAACTTGAATCAGGTCCAATGAGCTCAGTTGAATCAGGGCCTTATGGGACATTTGTTGGAATTTATGATGGGCATGGAGGTCCAGAAGCTGCTAGGTTCATAAACGAACACCTTTTTGGCTATATCAAGAGTATGATATTCTTTCTCCTCTTTGCTGAATGAATCAGAATTTGCTATTTTGTCTCTTCAACTTGGATAGGTTTTGATGTTTGACAAGTTATATCTTGGCTTGTTTCCATTGGTTGTCTTAGATAACTTCATAATTGATAGTTATAAGTTATTTATAGCCGGATCATGCACCTTAAAGAAGACCAATGAGGTTGAAGTAGGCATGTTAAGTGAGGAAGTGAGGTGGGAACTTCACAATTTAACAAGCATTTATATTTTCATTGCAGTCTTAAAAGTCAGATTTGGAATGGGGTTTGGTTACTGTTGATGACATAGAGAAGATTTTGCACATTGTAGAACAGGTTGGGAGCAATCTTCAAAAAAAAAAAAAAATTGAGTGCTTTGTGCTTTCTGATGAAAGGAAGATAATTTAGTTTTTTGTGCAGATTTCGGAATTTAGAACTTGGATTTCTGAACTATATGTTCCTGAAGTTTGTGCTATAATGCTATAGTCTTAAATCATGCCAGCTCACTGCAAAGGTCTTAAGAGTTTCAAAAATCAAGTCATCAATAATTTTTTGGAGCTTGAGTATTAGTCTATTCCTCCTAATATGCTCCATTTCAATCATTTAGAGGCAATGAAAAATGTCAAATTTGGACTCAACTCTGATCCTTTTCTCCTACTGCTCCTCAAACATCAAATTTTTTTCCTCCTCCTCTAGTTCTAATTTCCAAGTTTTGATAGCTAATGCATATGTTTACTGACTTGACAGCTATTAATGGTGCAGAGTTTACAACTGAGAATCGTGGAATGTCAGCTGATGTAATCAACAAAGCATTTTTGGCAACCGAAGAGGATTTTCTTACTCTTGTCAAGAAGCAGTGGCTAAGTAAGCCACATATTGCTTCTGTTGGTTCATGTTGTTTGGTAGGAATAATTTGTAGTGGACTGCTATACATTGCAAATGCTGGAGATTCTCGAGTGGTCTTAGGAAGACTGGAAAAAGCCTTTAAAGAGGTCGAAGCAGTTCAGTTATCATCTGAGCACAATGCAAGTGTTGAATCTGTGCGGGAGGAGTTGCGATTGTTACATCCTGATGATCCACAGATTGTGGTCCTCAAGCACAAAGTATGGCGGGTGAAGGGTATAATACAGGTAATTTATTTTGCCTTTGGGATATTTGTTTTGTTTTTTTTTTTTTTTTGTTGATAGTTTGTTGTATCCATTATTTCTTCTATAAACATTGTTTTCAAGACATTGGTGCAACCACTTTAAATTGATGAGAATCAGTCAATTACTTTCTCATTCCTTGGTTCCAAAATTTGGAATATTTTACATCATTTTATGTTTCCATAGGAGCATCCCTACCTGAATCATTATCAGTTTCATGTTTATTTTCTTAGTACACGATCATGATGCAATTTATAAATTCTTGCTTTCAAATATAGACTTATGACCCATTGCAATCCTTACGCGATCTAATCTCTCCACCATCTAGGAAGCAAATCCGAAATTATTTAGTCAGTTAATTATTCATTTATTTGTATCTTTAATATGGATTATACCAGATTCCGAAATTGTTCCCTTGTTTATAACAACATTTGATGGGAATACTTGTATGCTTTGAATAGTGCTGCCAGGAAAACCAGCTTCAGGTTTTGATCAGTAATCGTTGTAAAAACTTATTTTGGGATGTAGAGGGATTTTATTGATAATGTTGAGGTAGGATAAATTCAAGAATTTCTCAGTAGTACATATTTCACCTACTTAAGTGATCATCTTGTAGTTTTGTGGAAATGATTTCAGGTTAAATAACAACATAAGCGATATTTAGATATATGAAATTTGATCCAGACATGATATTTTGAGAATCTAAATATATTTTATGACTTTCAAAGGAACTTTTCAGGGGAATTTCCATTTGAATTACCATCAATCTGACAGAGAGAATTAGCATGATCTACAACAAGCATGTGTAATTGATAGTCCATTGACCAAAGTTTATTGTGTGACAGATTTCAAGATCCATTGGTGATGCTTACCTAAAGAAGGCAGAGTTCAACAAAGAACCTCTATTGCCAAAGTTTAGAGTTCCAGAATCATTTGAGAAGCCAATCCTACAAGCAGAGCCAGCAATATTGGTACAGAAACTCCTTCCTGAAGATCAGTTTCTTATATTTGCATCAGATGGTCTATGGGAACACCTTAGCAATCAGGAGGCAGTTAACATGGTCAACACCTGTCCACGTAATGTAAGATTCTTTTTTGTGATTTTATTTTGATGTATTTAAACTGGCTATACTTGTTGTGGTTGCCCTTAAAATTGAGTGCTAAGAAATAATGGCTCTTATGCTATCAGAACTAGCAGCCCTTCTCTTTTAATTTACTGAGTCGTAAGAACTCTGGACCTTTTCTCTTTTTGCCAATCTGTGATAAACAAATGAAGGTGGTTGGTTGAGTAGTGTTGTCTTCTCTGTACAGTCAACTACGTGTTTATCCTGTGCAAGTTCCTTGTCCTTGAAGCAGCTGCTGCTGGCTTTTCCTGAATTATGTAATTAGTGTAATTGTCAACATACTATTAAACCAGAACATTTTAAAGGTTTTCATTTTTTTTTCTTTTTCCTCCATATACATGAGTTATATGCTAAGCTCACCCAGAACTTAGAAGTCATCTTTATTCTGATGATGAAGTTGCTTCTGGATGTACTTATAAGAAATGCTTAAACAGGGTATTGCCAGGAAACTTGTCAAAGCCGCACTTCATGAAGCAGCAAAGAAGAGAGAAATGAGATATTCAGACTTGGAAAAGATTGATCGCGGAGTGAGGAGACATTTTCATGACGATATAACAGTTATTGTTTTGTTTCTGGATTCCCATCTGATAAGCCGCAGCTCCTGGCATGGACCCCTGCTTTCAATCCAAGGTGGTGGTGGAGTCTCCGGAAGTGGCAACTGCTAGTGCAACAGGTCGTAGACCTCTATACCCTGTTCTCTCCTTTTGTATGAAGAAACATTTTTCTCTTTTCCTTTTAAAAAAGAAGCAATTGAAAATTAATTTTTTCCCCAATGTATAGCCACGCAATTCAGGAACTTGTTTCCACAAAGCCATAATAGAATTATTTATAGCTGTTAGTTACCAGTTAGAGAGTGCCTAAGAGAATTCCTCCTTTGAAGTTTACTCTCTGGTGACTGACACATGATAATTGAAAAGCTATAAATTCATTGACATATATGGTATTACCCATTTGCCTTTAAGAATTTGTTCAAAATTTGCCACTAAATGTAAGTACATGTTTCTTGTGGTTCAGTTCTAATTGTTGTTGCCTCTTACTTGTTTTATCTGCGATTGGAGTGCAACTTCACTTGAGTAAAAGAGAAGGGTTTTTCTCTTCCCAGTGTATCTCATCATATCTATGTTGATATAGCTTCCTAGTTTCACTTTCATTCCAACTCGAATCATATTAGCAAATGAATGTACTATATGAACCGATGCAGAAGTTTATGTAAACTTTTAACACATTTTGGCAGTTAATAGTTTTCATATACTCTGCTGTATGAAGTTGTGGTTGGTTAAAGGCACAGCAGCTTGAACCATGATCGCGGTCGACAAGTTTGTTTTGGCTCTTGTTGCAGGGAATATCAGAAAATAAATCTGGTTCTGGTTCTAGCTCATTGTTTTTTCATTGTCCTACTTAAAAAATCCCTTCATTTTCTGAACAAGGGTGGGACTGGGACTAGGAGTGCATAGAAAATTCCAATCACTCACCTTATATAATAATAATAATAATAATAATAGTAATTCCAAAATACTTACCTTCTCATATTAATTTTTTATGAACAAGCTAGTTGGTTTCCTCATTCAATTCCAGGAAATTAAAAAAAAAAAAAAAAGAGGCGTTTTATCCAGCTTGTTGAATTTTACTTTGAGCCGTGGTTCGAATAAATAAATATATATATTTTATGCAAAAAAAAAGAATGCTATTATTCGAATTTAAAATTTCTATCCAAGTCTCATTTTACTTTTATTACTTTAACTACTCAAGTACATGGATGAAGGGTCAATTACAATATAAATATTTTTGGTCAAAATTACAATAGAATTGAGTAGCATTTTTTTTCTTTTAAAGAATAAAATAAATAATTTTTTATTTTTTTATTGGACAACCGGTATCCTACCAACGAACAAGACGAGTTTTACCACGGTGGAGTACTTCAAAATCTTTATTTTTTAATAGAAGTAGTTTTAAACTTATTTATCTAAACAAGACACTTTAAGCTACGTCAATACGAAGATGGATTATGGTTTTAGCTGTGAAGGGTTTTATGGGAAGTAGAGGGAGCGAAACAGGAGGCTTTTTTTTGGAAGACCTCTGCTGTCTTCCGAGGATTGATCCCCTCGGGAATCCCCGTAGTTGTCTAGCCGCCTTTGTTATTATTTTTTTGTTCTGCTTTTTTTAGGTGTTTGGAAATACATAAAATATCAGAATTAAAATTAAAATATTATTTAAGTTTTTATTATTTATTATAAAAAATGGATTAACTTATATCAGTATATAATTTTTTAGTTTTATATTTTTTTAATTATTAATTTTAATAAATTTAATGAATGAGTAAGGCAAGTTAAAAAACAATTTTAATTTCATTCCTTGAATTTATTAAAATAAATGATTAAAAAATTATAAAATTAAATAATTTTACATTTGTGTAAATTGATCATCGACTCTATTATAAGTATTTAATTTTTTATTTTTATTCAATTGAACTTTTAATAGAATGAAAATTGATTAATAGCTGTCACATTCACGTAACTTATGTGATTAATTTTCATCTAATTAAAAATTCAATTAAATAAAATAGATATTAGAAATTGAATAAAAATAAATATTGGAGTATTTAATTTTTTTTGAATAAATGTTTGAGTATTTAATATATTGCAATAAAATGATAAAATTTAAATGATAATTTAATTTTAATTAAGGAACCTTTTCAAAAAAATAGTTAAGGAACTTTTTATATTTAAGCCTTTTCTTTTTTTTTTTTGTAATTTGTCATTTCTTTTTTATAAAAATTTTCCTACGATAATATTAAATATTTACATAAATTTAATATAAAATACCTCTTTATTTTGACTTTGTTTTAATTATTTTTTTAATATTTAAAATTATTAAGATTTAAACATTGATTACTAAAATTAAAAATTTTATATTTTATTTACAGACCACATAATAATTGACTATTTTATGTTACTTTGTATCTTAATAAAATATTTATAACTTTTTTTTGTTAATAATTACGATCTACGAATTCAATTTTTGGATAATTATCATGAAATTTTAATATGAACAAAGTTTTTTAAGTAAAAATTTAAAATGATCTAATTAAAATATTTAAAATAAAATCTTTTTATTTATTATAAGTTACACTTAAGATTTTGTGGTTGTAATTAAGTTACTAAAAAATATTGCGCTAAGATTAAGTGATAATTATAATTTTCATTTTCAATCAAAATTTTTATGCATTTACACTAATTTATCTTCTTTCAAATTTTATCTTTTATAATTAAATTTTTTTCCTATTACATATAAGTAATGGGATGCGATATAAAGGATTCAAGGTAAAAGAGAAGTATAGCGCCCTATTCGTAATCAAACTAATAGTACTTGAAAAAAAAATGATTTACCCACTTTCAAATTACTCAATTTGAGTAGATTATAATTAGAAAATTTTCATAATTTTTGTGGTTTCTTTTTTGTATAATGTTGACCAATGACTTGTAAATACATTTCAATAAAAATTTTGTTTTAAAAGTGTGTATTTATCATCTTGTTATAGAAAATTTTAAAAGTGTGTGATTTTCTAAAGGGTCATTCATTAATTTTATCTCATATATTTATATATTTTGACATGATATATAATTATTGAACAAATTCTAAAATAAAATTTATCCATTCATGAATAAATCAAATAATTAATAAATGAGATATTATCATTAAATTAATAAATTATTATCACATCAAAAAGTAAAAATGATGAATAGTATTTTTTAAAAAAATTTATTACTCAAATATCATGGAGTATTAACTCAGGTCTAAAAATATATAGCAAATGTACCTTTGTAAGTATGTTATAATTTGTTTTTAATGAAGATAGGTTAAAAATATTCAATACAAAAGTGAAAATATATATTTTTTTTTTGAAGTTATGAAAGTATAGTGTTACATCTACCAAATGTGACCAATATTATAGGGCTAAAGGCAGAAAGAGAGAAAGTACATAAAGTTATTTTTATTTAAGGGTAAAACTTTAGAGAAGTGGATTGGTATTTTAAAGAGGAAAAGTTGACGTAATGAAGCTAGAAAATTCACTATTTAAAATACTTAATTTTAGGTTTCTATGTAAAAAAAAATGTCTTACTTTTAGGCTTGAAAAGAAACCCTTGACCTTTTTGTTTCTTATATAAATAGATATATACTCTCGAGTTAACATATAATATTAAAATACTATTATTAAAGAATATGAAATTCAATATGTAATTTGAACAAAAACATTATATAATTTTTAAATCAAATTTCATATTTATTATATATAAAAGACTTTTTTACATGAATACGAAAATATATATTTATATATATAAAAGAAAGAAAAGGATTAACTTTGTTTCTATTTTGTATTAACATAAAAAAGTAATCTTCCCATAGGAAACAAACAAAAAAAAATAATTTATCCTATTTTCAAATCCGCTTGACTCATGAGAAAAGGATTAGCCGATAAGGCAAAAAGTGAGGGTTTTTTTTCTTTTTTTTTTTAAATAAAAGATATAACTATAAGTCAATAATAATAAGACTCATGGTCATGGGCTAGATGGGCGACATGGGCCTAAATGTTTTGAAAGACCCTATTTTCTTTGGCCAATTGCTAGTGCAATAAATTTTGGCATTTTTTAATGCTTTCATAATAACATCTCATTGTCAGTAAATATTTTCATTGCCGACATAACGATAACGGTCGCATTGTTGTTCCATTGCCTGTAGCAATTGGCCACATTATTATTGTTATTATTATTATTAAATTTTTAATTAATAAAAGTTGATATATAAATTATTAAATTTTAAATTATCATTTATATTTTTTATGAGCATTATAAATATAAAAAAGATTTAATCAATTTATAAATAAATTTCTAATTCCCTTAAAGATAATTTATTAAATGAATTTACATGTAAAGAATATAGAAATTAAAATTTATATTGAATTTTTTATTTTAAAAATTCAAAATTTATGTCAACTTTAAAAGCAATATATTTTATACATAATAATAAAATAAAATTTCCATTTTAATAAAAATTTTAGGAATATATTTTTTATTTATTTCAATTATTTATACAATACATAATTTTATATTCAATATATATAACTATTATTTAGAAATAAATAAAAAATATTGAAAAAAAACTATATTTTTAAAATAATCATTTATATATTTTACTGCTTTTAAGATTCAACTCTCAGTATTTTATTTTTATATATTTCTGATTCAAAGAATGGCTGAACCCGTTCCGGCCTTTTCCGTCTTCGATCTCCGTGTTAAGAAATCTCCAACATGGTAATAATGTGACTCTAATCTCGTCCTTTTGCATGTGCCTGCATTTCCATTACTCTTCTCCTCTTCACTACCTCACTTCGCTCCTCCCAAACAACGAAAACCGAAACTCCCTCTCCCTCTCCTCTTTTTCTTTATCTCCTTTCTTTTCTCGTGCATTGTTTTTCCGTTGCAGAAATTTAAGCAAAACAGAAAAGTCTCCTAAAAATCCTCTCATCCGTCGCCGACATACTCAAAATCTCATAGACCAATATAATCGATCCACCTCTCCACAGCTAATGAGGTCTTCCGCCACCACCACTACAACAACCACCAAAGCCGTAAACCCCCTTATATCCTTCGAACACAAGAGGTACGCTCTTCTCGCCACGTGTTCCTTCGATTCTCTCTCTGATCCATCACAATTTTGACCAGATCCTTTTTTTCTTATTTTCAAAGAAAATCTTTGACTTTTTTACGACCAATTTTTAGCCGTGATTCTTGATTTGGATTTGATACTGTGAAATGTGATTTAATTCTTTGAACAAATTTGAGTGGAAAATATGGGCATTTGTTGTTTTCTAGTGTAATTCGGCAATATTTGGATGCCGATTGCAGGTAAATTCAAGCTCGATTTTGATAGAAATTTCCTATTTTTGCCTTTTATTTTGATGATTTTTCGTTAGATTTTTTCGTGATCAAGATCTTATTAAAATTTTTCACAGTTTAGTTTAGTAATGGAGGAATGTGGTGTCCGGTTGCTAGTGATTTAAGTTTTTGCTGAGAACATTGTTGAAGTCCGCGATCTTTTATTGAGAAAATTTCACGGAACTTGGTTTGATTTGCAAATTGAGTGGAAAAGTGAGTGATAGTGGAGAGTAGAATAGTTTAGGTTTGACTACGAGATATGTTGTTGTCTACTGTAAGTAGGCAATGTTTGGAGGTTGATTGCAGGTAAATTCGAGTTGTATTTTGATTAATTTACATGCTATTCCGCTTTTAGTTTGATGTTTCTTCTGATTTCTTGCTCTACATTTTATTTTGCAATGAGTTGTCTTGATTTGAGTTTAATAAGTTTAGGTTAATATGGCAAGTAATTTTAAATTTTAAGCTAGATTTTGCTTGAATGTTGTGGTAATCAGTGATTGGTGGAGGCTGATTGCAAATAATTGAAATTACTTTTTGGTTAAAATATTGTCGAAATTTGCAATCTTTCTTTGAGCTTTTTTTTTTTTTTTTTCATGGAAATGATCTGTTGTTAATTTGATGGTTTTGTTGAACTTTTGGGGGGTTATTAAAACGTTTATTGTTGACAGGGATGCTTATGGATTTGCAGTGAGACCTCAGCATGTGCAAAGATACCGAGAATATGCTAATATCTACAAAGTATTATTCTTTACGCTGTTTCCGCTTTTATTGCTTTTTATTTTGAGCTCATCACCTTCTTTTGGCTTCTGAGGAAAAAGAAAAGGATAATTAAATGACAACTCCTATATCATGGTGAATATTGAATAATGTGTCTAACTTTCTCACTTAGTACAGAAATTGGTGATAATGTGTCATTGAGTTATTCTCTGAAACTACAAGATAACTTGAGCAAATAAATTCTGTTAAGACTAAACATACTTCCTCTAATCCCTATCTTTTTCATTTCCAACCTCTCTCTTACACATTGTTATGGGTCCTAAATGATAACAAGCTTTATAATTCAGATCTTTGATTTAGTTTCTTTGAAGAATTTCTGGGCAACTGAATGGAGATCAAAGGAAATAATCTCAACTAGGATGAATAAAAGGTTTATTTCCTGTCTGTACCTGTGACTTTAGGAAGAAGAGGAGGAAAGATCAGATAGGTGGAACGATTTCTTGGAACGCCAAGCAGAGTCTGCTCAATTGCCTATCAATGAATTACCTTCAGAGGAAGGCAAGGAGGTCTCAAACGTTGAAGCTGCAGAGGATGGGAACAATGAAGTCCAGAAAGGAGCTGAAGGGGATGATTTATGTGAAAAGAAGTCTGGTTCTGATAGTCTGTCAGAGAATGATACAGAAAAGGAGAAGGTACAGTCTGCACCAGAGAAAAGAGTTCATCGAATCCAAATATGGACTGAAATTAGACCATCCCTTCGGGCCATTGAAGATATGATGAGTATTCGTGTAAAGAAGAAAGGCAGTTTATCAAAAGATGATCAAGAAACAGGTCGAGCAAAGTCGTCGATATTAACTCCTACTGAAGATGCTAGATTCCCAAAGGGAGCATCAGAGGAGGATTCTGAGGATGAATTTTATGATGCAGAGAGATCTGACCCAGTTCAGGATGCCCCTACAAGTGACAGCATGAGTACCACAACAGGTGCTGTTGCTGCTGCTGCGGATGCAGCTCATACAGAATCTTTACATCCCTGGAAAGAAGAGTTGGAAGTTCTTGTTCGTGGTGGAGTGCCGATGGCTCTTAGGGGAGAGGTATTTTATTTGATATTCTGTTATTCTCTCTTGGTTTTCCACAATCTCTCACATGAGCTTGGTTATTACAGCTTTGGCAAGCCTTTGTTGGTGTAAGGACACGCCGAGTGGAGAACTATTACCAGCATCTGCTTGCTAATGAAGCTAACTGTGGCAACAACACTGATCAAAAGAATTGCCAGTTAGAAAGTAAGGGTTCAACCACAGAGTCCATATATGGGCCTGACAAATGGAAGGGGCAGATTGAGAAGGTTGTTCCATATTCAGTTTTCTCAATTCTATATCAGTTTCTTCAGCGGTTGATGCTACCTCTTTGTTTGGTATTATTACTTTGAGATTCCTAACTGATTAAAGGTTCTAAATACAGGATTTGCCCCGAACATTCCCAGGTCACCCTGCTCTGGATGATGATGGTAGAAATGCTTTGAGACGGTTGCTTACAGCGTATGCTCGGCATAATCCCTCTGTTGGGTACTGTCAGGTATTAGTTTCAGAAATATGTTAGCTATGGTCATGCTTGCAGTGTTTTTGGCTTTTTGGGATAAGTATTTTTCTTATGCAGGCCATGAATTTCTTTGCTGCCTTGTTACTCCTCTTGATGCCTGAAGAAAATGCCTTCTGGTAGGTTCAGAGACTCAGTTGAGAAAATTCCTTGCAAAGCCAGCATTCCTTGCCCTATCTGTGAAATTCACTTTTTAAAGTTACAGATCACAATATATTTTGTTGGTGGAACATGATTAGTTTTTGTTATTCCCATGATTTGCATGTTTTCTTACCTTTTATTTGGTGGGGTTCTCTATTTTTTTAATGGCAAGCATAGCATTTAATTTTTAAAAATAAGTGTGCCATTGGCTTTGTATTCTTCTAAGTTATGGTATACATTTCAGGACTTTGATGGGCATTATTGATGACTATTTTGATGGCTATTACTCAGAGGAAATGATTGAGTCTCAGGTAATATTTTGCATAATCTTTTTCTCCTTGTTGGTTGATTTCTACTATCTGCTTTCTCCTAAATGAGAATGTTAAAGTGGCTGATGGAATAATTATGCTTTAGATTACTATCTTGGTAACTTGTTGCCTTTTGTTAGGTTGACCAACTTGTTTTTGAGGACTTGGTGCATGAGAGATTTCCCAAACTAGGTTTGTTTTTTCAATATATATTCTTTTTGTGTTTGTAATTTCCCAGATGTTCTCTTTCCATTCTGTTATTTGGGCGGGCAGGTTATGATTGACATTTTTATGTTTATTGCAGTCAATCATCTAGATTACCTGGGAGTGCAAGTGGGATGGGTTACTGGACCGTGGTTCCTTTCCATTTTTATGAACATGCTTCCATGGGAAAGTGGTCAGGTTTCATGCTGTGTCTTTTAGCAATATTCAATGACTTTTACAATTTATCATACTAATTTGAAAGTTTCTTCTATAGTTGGTGCCTCTGTGGCTATTTTACTGATGTTGCACTCTCACTTAACAATTGGAATTACCAGTGCTTAGTTACAAGCTTCTTGATGGATTTCTCCTCATTACAGTGCTTCGAGTCTGGGATGTGCTCCTGTTTGAAGGAAATCGCGTCATGCTTTTTAGGACAGCACTTGCTTTAATGGAGTTATATGGTATGGGGTAAAAGTTGCACGAGTATTTTGAACTATATGATATCTTTAGGGTGGTTGAAGTCTGAAAATAGTGACTAATAAGCTGGCTTAATCTACAAAATGTAACTTAGTTTTCTTACAGGCCCTGCACTAGTTACAACTAAGGATGCAGGAGATGCGATTACTTTACTACAGTCATTGGCTGGCTCAACATTTGACAGTAGTCATCTCGTGTTGACAGCTTGTATGGGTTACCAAAATGTAAATGAAAAAAGATTACAAGAATTAAGAGAGAAGTATCGGTATGCTGTAATAGCTGCAGTTGAGGAAAGATCAAAGGGGCTTCAAGCTTGGAGGGATTCTCAGGGCCTGACATCTAAGCTATATAATTTTAAGCATGATCCTAGGTCGATGCTTATGGAAACAAAAAAGACAGGAGGACTGGTTGATTCACAAACAAATGGGGATCTCTCTCATTCCGAGTTTGGATCCACAAATGCTGACGAAGCTCTTATTAGTCTGACAGGTGATGCTGAGTTGGATGCTATTCCCGATCTTCAAGAGCAGGTAGCATGTACATTTTCCTTTTCATGAATACAATACTTCATTAGTGTTGCATATTGTCTGTGAGTGGATGATCTTAGTCCATTTAGCTAGTGAAAGAGACCCATTTTGTGCGACACTTGCATATTTTCTTTGTGTGGTAAATTAGAAATATATAGATAGTTTGAATGATGTGATGTATTCTAATCTTATATCCTGAGTTTTTTTTTTTTTTTTTTAATTTATTATTGACCATACAATGGTATAGTGGTCCGAGATTTAACAGAAGATTTTGCCTCAGAAGGATTTATGTTGCCAATCACATTTGGTTGGATCTAGGACTTAATTAATTGAACAATTCTTCTGTTGACCATGCTGCATGCATTTATGAGATTGTAGCATGAGCTCTCTTTCTAGTGTCAGATTCTTAGAGCATATAGAAACTATTTTCAAACCCTGTCAAGGGAAATAAAATTGACCTCAGAGTTCATATGAGGACTATTATTTTGCCATGTTATATAAACTTTCAATGACTAAATCCATTTATCTGCTGGTGTCATATACATTGAAGCATTCCACCTTGATTAACATAAGTCACACTAGTATTTTGTGGACCAAACAAAATGTTTAGAGGGTATGTTGCTTGTTGGATTTTTATGGAGTTATAGGCACTGACAAGTTGAAGCGATTAGGAGGCTAGATCATACTCAAATGTATTCTTTGCTTGCTTTATGTTCATGCACAAGATTTTGTGGGCCTGTTTTATGATGTTCTCATAGTCTTAATTTCTTATAAACAATCACATGCAGGTTGTATGGTTAAAGGTTGAGCTGTGCAGATTGCTGGAAGAGAAAAGATCAGCTGTCCTCAGGTTAATAATTTATATTATGTCTATGGTTTTCAAGTTTTGCAATCCTTGGTTTGCTATAGACCGTGTAATAGATGCAATATAATTTCTTTTGTTGGTTGCAGATCTGTTACACGCTTGTTCTTTACTTCTTTTTTTCATGCACATATCTTAGCTATGCCACAATGGTTTATGAATTGGATACATCTGATTACATAATCTTTGCATTTTATGCTGGAATTCGTGGGTTATTTGTTTTAAAATAATCTTTTTTCTTCTTCCAAAATAACCCTGATTAATGTGATACTGACTTCCTCACTTGTATCAGGTCTGAGGAGCTAGAGACAGCTTTGATGGAGATGGTTAAGCAGGATAATCGACGCCAATTAAGTGCTAGGGTAAACTGGAATATCTTTCTTAGTGGCAGTTCCCTTGACATTAATATAAATATATAATTGTTGTTCTTGCAATGTTTGCCATTTTCCTTCGCCCAAAATTTACAGTCAATTTCTAACTTGTTCTTAGGACCATTATTGAACCACAAATCATTCCCATGCATGCAACTTATTTTGCTTGCTTTTACCTAGCACCTTGGGCTTCTTCATGGAATTTTATGTTGGATTCTTGATGTGTATCCTAGCTCTAGCTACTATAAAGTATACAATTTGAGTAATATTATTACCAGAACTTGCAAAAAAGAACCTTTGTTTCTGGTTTTCATGACTCATGCCTGATTCAGTGATAGACCCTAGACGGTTGGCTAATAACCTATATGCTTTGGTGCTTGGTGTCTGACTGACATGAAAGTTGCTGTGTGTTTTCTTCAGAGGAATATATTGCATACTGAATATCTGCTTCTGATCTTTAGGTGGAGCAATTAGAGCAGGAGGTTGGTGAGCTTCGTAAGGCACTTTCTGAGAAGCAGGAACAAGAAAATGCAATGCTTCAGGTTTGATTTGTTTTCCTCATGTTCAACTAGTGGAAGATTGTCTTCTTCTTTTGTTATACATGTCTTGATGATTATGAGATTTTGTACATATTTCATAGGTCCTAATGCGGGTGGAGCAAGATCAAAGGGTAACAGAAGATGCTCGCAGATTTGCTGAACAAGATGCAGCTGCACAAAGATATGCTACTCAAGTGCTTCAGGTACTCACTATGATCAAAGCTCTTGGTTTGCCATGTAATTTTCATCTGTAAATATTTGCTGGTTTTTCCCTTCGTTCATGAGAAGAAGTTAGTGATAACATTCATTGGCTTTATGTTATTGGTTTTGAAAACAGTAGGTCTTTTAATTACTTATCACTGTAAACAAATCATCTTTTTCAAAAAACTGCAGGCAGGGAACAGATATGTTTAATGCATCTCTTAATTTCAAAGAAAAATCATTGCGAACTGGGAAATATTTTTGGCACCTGTCAAGCTGTTATTAACCAAACACTAGGACAATGTTAGCGGTGAACTCTAGCATAGAGAATTTGCAAGAACATGCTCTTTTCCCTTTCCCCATAAAAATTTTCCCTCAAACATACCTTACAAAGGGACCTAACATTGTTTTGATTTCTTATATCTTTTCTGGAGAAAAGTACCTAAATATTATATGGATGTTTTGTTTGGTTCCATCTCTGCCTTTGCTGTAATTTTTATGTTAATGCAGGAAAAGTATGAAGAGGCCATTGCTTCGCTTGCTGAAATGGAGAAAAGAGTGGTAATGGCAGAATCAATGTTGGAGGCTACCTTACAGTACCAGTCTGGACAAAGTAAAGCTCAACCTTCTCCACGGTGTGTAGTCAACCTTGCCAATTTCAAATCTTTTATGCTTAGGTGAAAACCTTTTAGTTGGTATGTTTTGTGTATATGTTGGGGGGTGGGGGTTTGGGGATGACTCAATAAATTGTTGTTTTTCTGTCTTTTTTATTTCTTGTAATGCCATTCAAAAGCTATTCAAAAAGCTTTGTTCTTTTCAATACTTATTTTTAGTTTCCCTTTTTATTATTTTCCCTCTTCCCACCGACAACTTAGAAAAGAACTGGAAGAAAAAATGCTTTAATTTTCAGTACATTAACTATATGCAAAAGATGTGAGCTTCTATTTTCCTTTTGTGCTCATCATGCTTCTGGATCGGTTTCTTCCTTCTAATAAATATAAGATTGCAGATCATCACGTCCAGATTCACCAGCACGCTACAATCAAGAATCCCAACAAGAAATCCCTGCCAGAAAGATTAGTTTACTTTCTCGACCATTTGGACTTGGCTGGCGTGACAGAAACAAGGTTTATTTTCACACATTTACGTTCTTATAAGTTGTGGGGTGATCAGATGATAGCTTTGCTTGATTAAACTGTTGGGCTGGCTTAACAATTGGCACAACTGAGAAATGAGCAATCAAGAGAGATGTCATTTTGCCCTTTTTATTATTACAGTATTTTATCATAATGAATTAAACCAAGATTGTTAATAAGATTTATTAAACAAAACAGGGAAAGCCCAGTAATGCCGATGGGCCAAATGATGGGAAGCCCTCAGGTGGGGATCAGAATACCAAAGTCCAGCGGAAAGACACAGATGCAAAGGAAACTGACGGCAGGAACACGAATGACAAGGACACAAACGGCATTGAAGTTCAAGATAAGGAGTGAGACAATTGCCAGTTTGTCATGTTAATAACTGCATATATATCCTTCTTTTGCTACCTCAAATTCTTGCATTTATTGGCCTTGGTAGGTAATTTTTCTTTTTAACATTGGAAATTCAGGGCAGTAGTAGTTTGCTTGTCTGTAATTTTTGACTGGAAAACAGATATAGTGCTCATATATTATTGTTTAGCCGTTATTGGATAGTAATAATTCTAATTCGTAGAAGTGAAGAGAATGTAAGTACAAGAGATAAATAGGGAATCAAGTGCAGGTTCTCTGGTAGATATTTCAAAGTAAAATCTTTAGTGCATATTTTTAATTTGTATGCTTCTGTACTCTCATCTCTCTAACAGCTGACTCAATCAGATATTGTCCGAAAAGATATAAGGTTGACTTCGTCTTTACCAGGGATTGAGAGCATAAACGAAGGGTAAGCATTTTCATTTGTTCGATAAGAGTAGTGAAAACTTCTTCTTCTTCTACCTATTTGTACCAATAGGTGGTTCATTTTTAGAAGAAAATCGAAAGAGAATAATTGAATTTTAATTTTAAAATTCTAAATGAACAATCTGACGGCTTTACTCGAGTATTATGATCGGAATACTTGATTTGGGTGGGTGTATATCCGGTCCACTCCCCAAGTCCAGCCTAAAGCGAATTTGTTTGGGGTCCTACATGCTAATCCAGAAGATAATGGATGAGAATGGGATGGCTTTTCTTACGTCACTGTAAAATAATTTTACAAGTGTCATTTTATTCTTCACTTAAGTTGTTATTATTATTATTATTTATTAGAAAACGGTGCACTAAGTTCGAATTTAGAAATTTCTAATCAAAATTCCGCTCTACCCTTGCTACTTGAATTAAGCTCAAGTAATATTTTTAACTTTTTTATATGAATGATAATAGATCCGTTTCTCTCAAAAAAATTTTTTTTTTTCTTTCTCCGTCTCTAAAAAATCAAATTAAAAATAGAATATGACCCAAACCTTAAATGAATTTTTTTCATGAAAGAAAATGGTCAATGAATGAATCATTAAAAGAAATTGGCCTCACATAAACAGGTATAACTTGAAAAAAACAAAACATATGATCCAATCAAAAAATAATAAATTATTCATACTATTAACTTTCACTAAAACTTACAAAACAATGTGTCGACTCCTCTATTTTCAAATTTTTTATTCTTTCTGCTTATTTTTTATATTTTACATTTTTTTTTGTGTGAGGCTCATTTGATGTAAATTCTTTTTTTTTTTTGTTATTTATTTACTTTTATTTTTTTATATTTAACAAATTATTTTTTATATTTTACATTTTTATATTATTGATGAAAATATAATTTTACTTTTTTTTAATTTTTTTAATTAGATAATTTTGTAAGAAAATGATGTCGTGTCATGGAGATTTGGTTTTCTTTTTTAAATTGAAATCGAATTGGGACCGATCAAATCTTTTTAAGAGAAATGAGATCGAGTTTAAAATGTGTTTAGAGTGTTTTATCTTGATGCATTTTGAAATATATAAAAATTTATATTTTATTATTAATTTAATTTTATATTTATATATTATATTAATAAAGTTATTATTTAATATTTTAAATTATAAAATTATTATTTTAAACTCAATAGGAGTATCTGTATGACACTCCTTATGAGATTTTTTTCTTTTTTTTCTTCATTTTCACTTTTATCAATTTTTTGGAATTTTAGTTTTCAATTTTTATTAGATAAAATTGTGAAAAAATGAGACCAATGAAGATATTCACATGTTAAACCTATTTGGCTTTTTTATTTTTTAATTAAATAAATCTTGTAACAAAAGAAACCAATTAATAAAAATCATAAAACAAAAAAAATTTAACCCACAATAATGTGTGAGTATCCACCTATCCATACAATGAATTTTGTAGAGAACGAAACCTTTTGAGGATGTCCATGTAATTACCTCTTATGTTCTTCTTTCCATTTCCTGCCGGCCTTTTCAGTTTTTTTTTTTTTTTTCATTTCTTTTTTTTTTTTAGGGATAAAGGTTTTTAGATGGTTTGACCATATACGAAAAATATGATTTTTTTTTTCAAATTTCACTTCTACGATGTTTTTCATGATAACAATTGATGATGAATTGATTTGTTATTGGATTGATGACAGAAGTTGGTGAGAGATTGCTTTGTTATTGGATTTTTTTGTCTGTGTTATTAAAAAATTAATTATAATAAAAATAATATTTAAAAAAAAAAATGTAATAGATTGTTTCAAATTTACAATTTTAAAATTTTCATAAGCACTAAGTTTTTAACATATGAAATTTAGTTGATTATTTAAAATAATAACAAAATAAATTTTATATTTTTAATATTTAAAATGTTTCTTGGTATGAAAACGTGGTAATTGATAAAACATAAGGTTTTTATATAAAAACATAGTTGTTGTTGGTAGAGTAAGTATAATATAATATTTATGATATCTTTAACTACGTTTTTTTATGTAAAAAACGTGGTATTTGATTTATCAAATACTACGTTTTATAATGATCAAAAAGTTATATTCCTAACTACACGATTAACAAAACTACATTCATAATCATACGATTAAATACCTGACAATTATCATGTGTATTTAAATTTTTATAAATTTAAATATTTGTTTTTGACTGATAAAATTTTAGAAAGACAATGTTTTTTAATTTTAAATGTAATTGAAGGATGTATAAAATAAAATCTTAATAAATCAAATTTCGTCATTTACACAACATTGTTTATGTTATAATATATTATAATATCCATACAATGGATTTTGATAAAATAATAATTGATAAAATAATAATAAAATAAATATTATATTTTTAATATTTATAACGTTTGTGAGTATGAAAATGTAATAATTGATAAAACATAACTTTTTTTCTAATATAAAAACGTAGTTGTTGGTAGAGTAAGTATAATATAATATTTATGAATTTTTTAATTACATTTTTATATAAAAAATGTAGTATTTGATTTATCAAACACTACGTTTATAATGATCAAAATGTCATGTTTGTTAAATAAAAGCTTTTATTATTTATCAAACACAACATTGTCATGTTAGAAACGTGGTCATATATTATAATAAATTATGAAAACTTAATTATAATAAAATCAACATTTTTTTAAATACTTGGTTGTTGAAAAATATGAATTTTAAATTTCTTATAGTTTAAAAAGCACTACATTATTAACATATGAAATGTAGTTGAAAATAGAAAAATATTTGTTAAAATAGAAAACATAATTTTTGTTAAAAAAATGATGTTTTTTTTTTTTTATATAAAAGTACAGTATTTATTGAAAAAAACCCAAAAAAATTAGGCCCACATAAAATGTTCATGTGTAAAGAAACCTAAAATAAAAAATACCTAAAAATACAATGTTTGACCTTTCTTTTTCTCGGTTTAAAATAATTCAAGTCCCAACTTTAACCAATCATAACTCTACTTAAACTCTATTTGTTAACTCAACAAACTCTAAAATAGAACCTACAAAATTCTCCAAGAAATCAAACGCCTCTAATGTACTAACCTTTTTCTCTAAAATGATAAACTCAAATGATGAACTGCTCTAAAATCTTGCCAACCTTGATCGTGTATAAGAGTTTTTCAAGATTTTGTATGCGAGGATATCCTTTCAAGATTTCATGGTAACAAAACTGTTTTGTTGCAATTTTCTCTTTTTTTTTTTTTTGAATTTTAAATCATTAAAACTAATGAAACCATACATATTTTTATCATTCTTCTCGATCTTTAATTTTGCTCGACATTTCAACCAGATGTTTTGCTATATGCTATTATTTTTATTATTTGTTATGCTTTTGGTTGCATATAATTATTTTTGGTTGAATTATTGTTATAATTGCAATTACATTTTTAAAAAAGTTTTCTACAATTAAAAAAGTTTCCTGATTGTAGAAAACTTTTTTAGATTTTATGAACGACATAGTTCTTTTTTCTTTTTATCCTATGCTCATTATTTTTGTGAAATCCTATTTTTGCTTCATTTACCCTATGTTAAAAAATATAGTCAAATTTCTTTTCGTTATCTCATTTACAAACCATCTCATTCAAACACATCAACTAAAATCTTAGTTTAATATATGCACACATATATACACTATTTCCTATTTGTTTAACTATGTTTTCTCTACATACATTATCAATATAAATTTTTGATGAACAATTGATTAATTTCTATTCTGTTGCTTGTTATCTTAAGTTATACAATTTAACTTTATATATTTTAAGTTTGTCATTATTTACTAAATGAAATAGTAGCTTTCTTTCTATGTTCTATATGTATAGTTTACATGTTTATATCAATATAAGCATTCAAAGCGAAAAAGAATGAAGAAAAATTAAAAAATTTACTAATTTGTTTTTCTCTAATGATCATTGTACAAACATAAGTTACTTCTGATTAATAATATATGCATCTTTCTCTTGAAATGTATGTTAACAAATTGTTTCAAATAAATGCTATATTTGTAGCCAGAGGTGTAATCGATTGAGATCAAGCCGATACAGTATTAAGCTCGAATTTAAGTTTGACTCTAAATTTAATGCTCGAAACTCGACTCGAACTTGATCGAGTTTTATTTTTTTAGCTTGAGCTCGACTCAATATAAAAATTGAGCTACTCGAGCTCATTCGATTAGGCTCGATTAATATGTAAAAATAAACTTGATTCTTATATTTGATAAAAACTCGATTATTTGTGCTCAAACTTGAGTACGAGTTTGAGATATTTTATCAATTAAAAATTATATTAAAATACAAAAGCTTGATTAAGTTCATGAACAACTCCAGTCAGGTATAAGAATACTCAAATTCAGCTCAATCAATAAGTTAAGTTATTTGAGCTCGAGCTTGACTCGATAATAACCGAGCTGAATTCGAGTTTATTCGAATTGAATCCGAGTAGCTTTTAAGTACTAATATATCATTTATACCCCTATTTACAGCTATTTTATCTATAATATGTTAAGACTTCAGCAACTATACTTCTTAAAAGTTTACTCGCTACTCGATTAAAAATACGTTTAGTTAAAATCAATGGTCAGCTATGTTTTAAAAATGGTTGAAAAGTTTTCATTGATCCACTTTGTTTGGAATGTAATGATCTACTCACTATAAAATACAACAATGATGCAACTTTTCATGCTTTTTTATATGCTTGAATTGGGACTGTTATCACAAGAAATATCTTTCAAATAAGAACAAGTAATTCCTTGAATTCAAATATCTTTCATTTATAAACAATATCATCATCTTATAAATTTTTTTAATTTCTATTTTTTATGTTTATAGCTGAGAAAAAACAAACAAATCAACTGATTTCTTCAAAAAGTAAAAAACAAAAGGGTAATCAATCAATTGCTGAAAAAAATGGTTGTAAAAATTATTTATCTTAATAATACAACTTTTGAGTAAGATTATAATATGAAAAAGAAGCTTGATGAAGATGCTAATACTGAAAGTGACAACCATGGTTTTGGTTATCTAGCATTCGAGCATACCATGACGAAGATAAATGATCAACCATCATGTGTCTTGGTAATATAACATATATAAACTGCTTTCATATGATTTCTCTTACACTTAAATAATTTGAATTTTTGGATGATACATGCATTAATAATTTTTAACTATCATTGTATTCTTTTTAATTAAAATTTTTAAACTCTTTTTAAAATACAGCATATCCTTGCTGTATTTTACAAAAAAATACATTTCAACACATAAAATTGATGTCATCTTAATAGTCTCGAGAAACTGTATAGGTTGACTTGTTCGATGTAGATATTTTGCTAAAAATAAGGTTTTTACATGATTGGAGAAGATTTATGATAAACAATTATT